CGTACAGCGTCGAGTAGGCCCCGGACGGGTAGAGGTGGTCCAGCAGCGCCGTCATGTCGCGCGCCAGGCTGACGTGGTAGGGCACGGCGAGGTCGCGCGTGCTCGACCGGCCCATGCCCGGCGGCGTCGGCGCGATCCAGCGCGCGCCGATGCGCTGACAGGGCGCGGGCACGCTGCGGGCGGATCCGATGCTCATGAGGCCGCTGAAGAAGAGGACCACGGTCGTGGCTGCTTCCGGCCCGTTGCAGGCGTAGGCCACTTGTCTGTTGTTGGGAAGCGCCAGGAGGTGCTGCTCGTCTCCTTTTTCTTTGGAGTATTCGGAGTATTCAGCACTGGAAGCCATTTTGGTGCGTGTCAAGTTGATGGCAAGACGTGGGACGTTGCGCCGAGACTGTGGTACGTACTTATACAAGATATTTACAGCCACTTACAACCGGCGCATCACAGCAGGTCAGCGGGTTAAGCGGGGGAGATTTCTCGTTTTCATCGTATTTCTTCAGACGTCCACAATGGATTGTTAGCGTCGCAAGCTGCGTGTTGGCCCCGCCGATATGCTTTATTGTGAAGCCTAGAGCTCTGCCTAATCGAGGACAGAATAGCAGCAGCGTATTAAGCAAAGTATGCCACGTCGCCATGATCGTATGTTAGCTCGGAGGCAGCTAGCATTCTTTACCCATCGCTGAGCTTTCACGGCCCTTCAGCCAAGTCTCTTACGGCTTGGCTCGTCCGAAGCGTTACCTCTGCCACACACTCGCCAGTAGCCCTCCGTAAGAAGAATGTATTGTATCATCTAGACTCAATTCTTTGGCGATATTTCACGACTTTTTAATCAGGCATTCCTTGATTTGCCACGTGTTGCCTAGTTGCTTATTACTCCCATGCAGCGCTCAACTAGTCTTGCGGGCTCTGCTACCCTATACTGTAAACAGTTCGGACTCCCTCACCGAGACGTATTGTAGATGACGATGCTCTGCTTGCTGGCTTTATTTTTTCAATATTTCAACCCAATCTCCTAGCATGTCTGGGGTTTATATACATTTAATACCCATGATTCGGCATCGACCTTGAATAGGATCGGATTAACCGATCTCCCAATCTGAAGCCAATTACAAAATCACACAGCCCAATCGCCACGCCCCACGCTAGCATAGTATTCCACGGCAGACACAAACTAAAGTGGCAGAACTTAAGTGACAAGTATTCAGGAGGAGGCCTCTTCCACGCCTCCCATCGGGGGAACCAGTCTAGCTGCGCATCGTCGCTGCCATGGATGGAGGTTGTGTAGACGAGATGGCATGACGCCAATCTGGAAAACAAAACCTCCCCTCCCACACAGCACCGAAAAGCACCCTTCACCGACATGCACAGCGCAGTCACGCCATGTCGAGGTCAATCTCGGCGTCGCGACGGCGGAAGCGCATCGAGACCATGGGGTCCGAGACGAGCGACAGGCCGTTCTCGTACACCTGCGGGAGGGTGTCGGCGGGCAGCTCAAAGTCGTACTTGATGAGGATGCCGAGCAGGGCGACCTTGATCTCGTTGGCGGCGAAGAAGCGGCCCGGGCAGGCGTGCTGGCCGTGGCCAAAGGCGCTGTGCTCGGGCGTGGTCGAGACGAGGTGCGCCGCGTTCTGCCGCGCCGGGTCGTCGCGCATGCGCACCCACCGGTACGCATCCCACCGGTCCGGGTCCGCGTGGTTCGACGCCGCCCGCAGGTGCGTCAGCGTCACACCCAGCTTCTCGCCCTTGCGCAGCCGCGTGCCGTCGCTGAGGGTGAAGCTCTCCTTGATGAAGCGGATCATGGAAACTAGTGGGCAAAAGCGTTAGGGGCAAAGAAACAAAAGGTATAGGAACTTGTCCTAGGGGTACGGCCGGGGGGGAACTTGCGTTGAGAAATAGGCTTCATCCGCTGCGTCTCCTTGATGGTGCTGTCGAGCAGCTGCATCTTGTACAGCGCCGACTTTTCCCAGCCGTGGGAGCGGTAGACGGAGATGATTTCTGCGCGGAGTGCCGGGACGATCTCGGGGTGCTGCGCGATGCGCAGCAGCGTCTCCGACAGCAGGTCCGTCGTGGTGTGGATGGCGGCAAACGACAGGGCGAGCTGGAAGTTGGCCGCGTCAAAGAAGCGCTGGGGGTCGGCCGAGGCGAACCAGTCCATGGCGTCGTTGGACTCGACGTACGGCGTGGCGGCGGCGGCGGCGGCGGCGCGGGCGGCGTACCGCCGCGTGATGACGGGCGTGACGACGGCGCGCGCCTCCTTGAGCAGGGTCTGCGCCCGGCGCGTCGAGGCCAGGAAGCGGTTGGCAATGGGGCGCAGCAGATACGGCCACTGGCGCAGCTCCTCCGAGGCCTGGAAGGACGCGACCGTGTACTCCTTGGTCACGCGCAGCCAGTCGGGGTTGCGGCAGAGCTCCTCGCCCACAAAGACGCGCGACGAGATGCGGGCGACGAGCTGCAGAATGGACTCGCGAACGTTGGCCTCGTGCCATTCTGTCGGGGGGGCGTGTATTAGTTTTGGGCACAACGAGGCGTGACAAGGCAGCGCGCCGCCACGCTCGGGTATCGACATACCGGTGCTGTCGGTGAGAATATCACTCAGGGCAAGCGACGTTTCCTCGGCAAGAGGAGCCGTCACCTTGGCTATTCAGACAAGACTTGTTAGTCTAACAGGGTCGGTGTTTTTTTTCGTTTGCTTTGAAGGTGCCGCCCACCAAGTTGTTTGGTCAGATCCTTGCGAACAATCTCTTGGATGAGATGGTCGCTCTGGCCGACCGAAAACGGCTCGAAGCCGTGCAGGTGGCTGTGGAAAGCCTATCGGGAAAATGGCAGTGTTAGCAACGACAACGAGCGACAAAAGGCAGAGAAGCGCGGCCGCCTCACCTCGCGTGTGACCTCCATAAAGCCGAGCCGGTTGTCGTTGCGGATCTCGTTGGTCATGGTCGGCGGCAGCACCGTCATGGGGCCCATGTCGCCGTTGATGATGACGGGGCGGCTCGGGTTCTGCGCGAACCAGCCGCGGAGCATCTTGGCGGCGTCTCTTCGGAAGGTGGCCTTGATGCGCGCGTCAGAGACCTCAAAGGCGCCCTTGGGGTTGAGCGTCGTCAGCGTCGACGGCGCGGCGGTGGCGAGGCGCAAGACGACGGCGAGCACGGCGGCGAGCACCGAGGCGAGGATGAAGGGCACTGGCTTGAGGGCGACCTCGTGAGGGAGGGCCTCGAGGTAGCTCTTGAAGCCGACCAACATGATGGGGCCGTCGACTGATGTTTGGTGTGCTATACGAAGGAGGGTGGTGTGCCGGAAAAGGTCGAGGCGGTAGCAGGCGAGGGAAATGGAAGACACGATGCACCCCTGGCAGTCGATTACGCGGGGCTATCGTGTGTATATATACAAAATTATACTAGTATACACACGCGAGCGAAGGGCGAGACACAAGGCCATGGTCGGACAAGGGGGGGGGCAGGCGTTGACAGTCTACACTGTTCCAAACAAACTCCAAATGAAACCCACCCCTTCTCCAGGTTTCCGGCTCCGCGACGTTCGCCTCGCACGTCCGGACGCTTGGAAAGGGCCGAGATGGAGAACGACAAAGCGAACTAGGATGGCACCTGGAAAGCCGAATAAACGATGTGGGTTTCACGATCGGGGACACGACGACGTACTGCACGACCAGTCACTTTGGAGCGACGCGAGGAGGGGTTACACAAGCTGTCGTTGGAGGGTTTGTTGCCACACCAGTTCCAACTAACTATTCAGAGTCAGCCTTTCCTTGTTCATGTCTTTGAAAGCAAACGAAACGGCAGCGGCTCAGGGGGCGGCTTCTGTTCCATCACCAGCCGCCCTAGTTAGCTCAGGACTAGGGTATGTAGCGGAAAGTCGTTGCGCATTCGCTCATCAGACTCTTTTTCCTTCTTCTTCGAGAGGCCTGGGCCTGCAAAAAACGTCATGTTCATCTTCTAGGCCACCATCGCTTCCTGTTGTGACACCCTCCCGCGAAGCAATCAAGCTTCACAAGGGGGTTACAGCCATCACCAAGTCAAGTGATGGTGCATCGGACGGAATCATGTCCCCGAACGCCAGAAGAGCAATGGCAGACACACCAGCAAAGCAAGTCGGACGGACAAGAAGAGTGATGAAAAAGATATGGGCGACCCGGTGCCGGCGCGCCCCTCATCTCTCCACCTTACACCGCCGCGCGCCGGCAGATGGGCGTCGATCGCCAGCCACCCCGTGCCGGCCTTTGCACATGTACCCAATCGCGTCTCAGAGGATGACTGTTTCTGCGCGGTTGATTTGCAGAACAAAAGCCTGGGCACGAATGGGTCCAGGACCCCCTTTTTCCTTGCTTTTTGGTGTGCCGCCAACTGGAACATGTACATAGTCCATCAGAGGTGGTGTCACAGCTCACACCTTGATATTGATCAACGGTTCAATCTAGAAGATAAAGTGGAGTGTCGTATCCTAAATACGCGTAAAGGTTTTTCAAGCGATCCCCCCATTTCGGTCGTGATGGGCGCGCCACCATCGCACTACCCCCCTCGAGCACAGAGTGTTGCGTTGCGTAAACGTTGCTCGCAAGGCATGAGAACAATGGCCAAATTCGCGCTCTCTGCGGACAGAGGCGGGCGGACTTTGACGGAGCGAGGCCAGAGAAGGAACCCGCGCTCCCTTTGTTCCATATTCAGCTTTGCTGCCGCCAAGTTGATGGGTGCAGGCGGCGGCGGACAATGCCCCAAGATGTACATACAATCCGATACGATTACGAGAAGAAAACTGGCAAAAAGAAGGCGGCAAGCGCACAAGTCAAATCGACAAGCTAATAATAAAATAACAACTAGTTAAAAAGCCGCTCCCCCTTTCGGAGATGAGCGAAACTTCGTCTATTGAACCCATTCACAAATGTCCACTAATTTGTTGTTTTCCAGCCTTATTGCATAAAACTGTCCCCCCTCCCTCCCCCAAATATTTACTCTTTTATGCACCCGCTGCGTCGGCGCCACGCTGTTCCGATGCGGGCACATTTTGTGCGCCAAGAACCGGTTCAACAAAAGCTCCTTTCCCCCAAATTGCACACACACGCATGAACGCATATACAGGTTGAATGAATACACGTATAGCGGCCCCGAGATATGGCCAGCCCGCAGCGTGCATGTCTTGGCGCTCACGAGGTCCCGTCATGGCGTCCTGCCCAAATGTCCGTTTTCTACTCGGAGAAAAAAAAATAGAGAGCATCGCCAAAATAGAGGCGAGGCGGATCTACCCTTCAAGCCACTGGTTGATAAAGCCCTTCAAGCCACGAAGAAAGCCCGCTTCGGCACGGCACATTTTTGGGGGCCGTCCGGTCGCAAAAGACGTAAAAAGACAAGATCCGTCTAGATACCAATCAGATCATTTTTTTATTTTATTTTTCACATCGATTCCAACATGCCACTGCCGGTCCACTCGGACCCTCGCGGAGCCGGGACTAGTGTGGGCTTTCTCCGTGAAACGCGCGGTGTCCGTCCGCTCCGGGGCGAGGGCCATCGGGAACCCACCAGGTTTGGAAAGATCCATCCTGGTCGGATGACGAGCGATGCATCGGTCTAGTACCTTTCCGTCGCCGTTGAATGATGCACATCTTGATGCGCTGGTTTTTATTCTTTCGGACCGACTCTCGAGCGTGTTGGAGATGCTGATGGTGTCACTGCCCTTACAGCACGAGTTGGGATAACTTTCATCACCGTTCATCACCGCTGGTAGCACCAGCCTCGGAGAGCATCACATCACAAGTATACATAACAAAGTAACGCATAACGATATGAATAGCGTTCCTTGGAGAAAGAAATATAAACAGTCTAGTCTTCTACAATACCCATGCCTCCAGAGTTAAGAATGTGTGCAGTATGGTATCATTCAAAAAAGTACCCCCCCATCCCACCCATCTGTCCCCCTCCATTACCTATCCCTCGACTCTCTCCACACATTATCATCACCAATCCCCAGCGTGCTGTCCGCATTCGGCAGAATCAGCCTCGGTTCCCGCGACGATCCCCTCGAGTTATGCAACGACCCTTCGGCCCGCGACGATGCCTCACCATCGCTACCCGGCACCGGCGGCGGGTCCTTGTAGATCCAAGCCTGCACCAGCGGGCTCACCAAACTCGGATTGACAAAGCTCAGCCCCTGCTCCCGGAGCTCGTCCATGGTGCTACCACGGCGCACAATGCGGCCCGTCGACGTTCCGTTGGCCAGCGGCTGATCCTGGCCCTGGTCCTCGTCGTCTAGAATGGCTTCGTCGTCGTTCTCCACCGCGCGAATGTTGCGCAGCGCAATATACTTGGTCAGAGGCTCGAAGCGTCTGGTAAAGTAATAGCTGTACCACACAGTAAAGGGAATGAGAGGGAGCACGGATACGGATTGGACAAACGCCGAGAGGGACGCAATCTGGCCAACCATGACGACTTCAAACACGAGGATACCAATAACGAGACGGCTGCAAATGATCCGCCACGCGCCACCAGTCGCATGTTGCGGCTGGTCCATGGCGTAAAGCAGCATATACTTGAAGGTGAAATAGCCGAGAGCAAAGTAGATGATGCCAAAGATGAGAATCGTAGGCCCGGGCCGCATCGCGCTATAAATGAAACAGAGATTGAAGACGAGCAGCGACGTCGGCAAGTAGAATCCGTACTGGAAGTTGGGCGGCTTCTGGAGCTGCGCATAGTCGCGCGGCGTCACCGCCAGGAATCGGTAGATGGGATACAGTATGACGCTGCCCACTTCGAGAATGCGGAACGGCATCAAGCCGATACCTTGGAGCATGATGAAACTAATGTAGAAACGGGACAGACCCTCCACATCAGCGGCGATAATGGCCGGAATCTTGCTTGTGTCCTTCAGCAGGCCCTGGAGCGACGAGTAAAAATCGAGACCCGTCTTGGAAACGGCAAACACGAAAAACGTGTTGAAAAAAGTGAAGAAGAAGTTTTTGGAAATAACTGACAGCTCCACATCGCCCTGGGAAATCATGCCCTGGTGGTTGGACAAAAAGTCGTAGACGTACGGGACTGCGATATTGAGCAAGGATACGACCAGCGTGGGACCACCATTTTGAATGAGCGACTTGATGATCTCGTGGTCTTCGAGCCAGTCAGCAAACGACGGCATCACATTGCGGATGGTGCAGACGCTGAGCCAAGAGGCAAGAAAGGCAGTAGGAAAGATCCAGACCAGGGTTAGGATGGTGATGAACAAGGTAATGGCCCAAGCTTGGAGGCGGCGGATACCACGGGGTGCGTAGGTATTCTTCCACACCATGTCCGACGGCGAGGGAGTAGCCTTGGTCAAGAACTGGCCGGGGCGAGGGTCAATCTCGGCCTGAATGAGCATCTGACAAGCGGCAACAGTGTCCATGGTGACGAGGGCCATGTCGGCTGTCTTGTATTCCTGCTTGCGCGCCACAACCACCTTTTCGTCGATCCGTCGCAATTTTTCCTCGTAGTAATCGATGGCGTCTACTTTTTGCCGGCGAAGTCCCATGAAGCCATAACGCAAGACGACCTGGGGTCGGACGCCGTGCAAGAGATGCGGCTGGTCGGGGTTGCTTTGGAGCAGCCCCCAGTTCTCGCCAGACTCTTCATCCTGCTCCCGTGCCGTGTCGGGCACCGGGAGATGATCGGATCTGCCCAGACCGTCGCGGTTATGCGGGTGCTGTGAGTCCAAATAGCGCGCCCAGGCCGTCTCGAGCCGATTCAGCAGGCGGGTTCGCTCCTCGACCAGCGCATCCAGGTCTTTCCAGTCGCGGCAGAGAAACACAGTTTCAACACTACCAACACCCAGCTTTTCCACCAAAGTCTTGAGCTTGGCCTCGGAGCGCAAACTGACAGGAATTCCAGAGAGCCGGAATGTTCTATCGGTAACAGTCGATTGGGACCCTAGGTAGTCCTGGCGGAGTTTGATGATGCGGAACGTCTCCCAGTTGATGGTATATAGCGTCAAGGCGACAAAAAAGTAAGTAAAGACGACATAGGCCCAGAGATAGGAGCGCTCCCGACTCCGATCCTTGCCGTCGTCCTTGTCGTCGTCGTAGGGAGTAAAGGGCAGCCGGACAGAGGCGTATGATTTCGGGTGGTAAGTGTACGCAGTGTGGTTGTCGCCGTCGTCAGGCGGCCCGGGCAAGAAGCCGGATCCGCGATATTTGTAGTTGATGGGCGAGAGCACGACGAGGGCGAAGAAGCCCATGACGCAAAAGAGGCGGATGGCCATTTTGAAAAAGGACAAAAAGACAAAGGCGTCGAGGCCGGCCGAGGAGAGAACCTGTTCCTCGGTGATGCTATACAGCTTCGGGATCCAGCCGAAAAAGGTCTTCGGGAGGGCCGGGAGGTCCATGCTGGGATGGAGGCGCCTCTTGCGAGCCGAGTAGAGGGCCGGCCATCGCGGACGCAGAATCTATTTATGTTAGCGAGAGCAGCCAGTGTTTAAGGGGCTCGGAAGAAACGCACGCAAAAGGTGACGAGGGCCGAGACGCCGAGGATCAGGGAGAGGGCGAGCTGGACCTGGAGGTCCTTGCGATTGGCACCGGGCGAGACATAGCGAGCCCAGTCCTCGTCGGTGCACTTGTCGTCAGAGTGGTTACGCATGGCGTGGCATGTCGTGGCGGAGGGTCCGGGGGCAGGGGGGGCGGCGGGCTGGCCACGGCAAAGCTACGTCGGGAGCGCAGCGATGCGTGAGTGGGAATAAGCGATGTCGAGATGATCCGCCTGCTTGATGTCGAGGAAGAGGCCGCGAGTAGCAAAACAGAAGTGGTGAAGGATGGAAGAGCGGAAGCAGTCTTGTGACGTAGGTGCAGCTGGCGACGCTAGCGCCGCGGGAAACCTAGGCACAAGCCGGTCGCCACTGTTTGAGGCCGCCAATGGGAGGCGGGCGGGCGCTTACATAAGGAGCATGAGCCCGGTGAGCGATTCATGCTGTGTATGAAGATGCTAATAAGACTGTTTTGTTTCATTTTATGCCAATATAGAGGTGCTACTATTATACAACGTTAGCGCGGCGTCGTGCGTTAATGGAGGGCTGATCAGATTGTGGTGGCGGCCAGCCGTGTGGGTTTAATCAGTGAGGGCATATACATCAAGCCCGGAGACGTTATCTTTGGATATGTGTATTAATACATGTCGTGGGTAGCGGAGAGGTTTGTACATGCTTTGTCGAATGTTAAACGTGAAGATCATTTATTCTAGAACAAGGTATAGTAGCCATAACTAAACATAGATAGGCGCCGTTATTCTAATACTTTGCTTAGTATGCTAGACTCCCTAGATATCTCTAGGTAACTTATAACCTAAATCTGCTAATTTAGTACGTAGCAGTTCTTCACAAGTCTTCTTCATTCTTCTGATATACTCATCGTTAGTCGCGTTGGCTGTTGCAGCTGACGTAGCACCTTCAAGCGTCGCGCAATACTTGGCAAGATCGGCCAAGGTCGTAAATTCACTCCTCCAACAGCGAAGCGTCAGCACATCTAGCTGTGAGTCAGACAGTTCTGGAAACACCATAGTACGGAACAGCCTAATAACTTCTGGGCCCTTATCCTCGTACGGCTCGAGGCCACGCGTCATATTATAGAGGATGGAGCCAAATGCAAACTGCTCAGTCCCAGCCCCGTAAAAGTTGTGCTTTGGAGAAGACCATGGTGGTGGAAGTCCAGGATCTCTATCACCAATCTTAGCACAGCTATCAAAGTCAACCAGCTTTAGATGATCGTCACTGTCGAGGAGGAGGTTTGCCGGGCGTAGATCCCCCTGGACTAACCCGAGGGATTCTAGCCAAGCAAGTGCACTAGACAATTCCGCAGCCCATTGTCCAATCCTAGCTGTTGGCTCGAAATGCAAAACTTCATAGCATTGTAGCGTCTTAGGGTCTTGGCGCCGGTTGCTTCGTAGGCGAAAGTCGAGGCTGATGGGCATCCGCTGCATAAAATGCGCGTCGGGGAGCCGGAGAAAGCTCTGGATGAAGTGCGGGGGCGGGTTGCTTCGCTCAATCAGCTCGTATATTTTGTTCTCGTGGCCGAACTCGTCGAGGCGGCCTGTGCAGAGGTATTTAAGGGCGATGCCGGGGGAGACTTCGAAAACCCATCCCGTCGCGCCCACGGAGATGAACTTGCACGTGTCAAACAACGATGGGGGAAGCACTTGTTCTAGCCTATCTGGCATGGTGATGATAAGAGGGCGATGGATGAAGTAGCGTGTAATAGGTATATGGGGATCGCGAGCAGCAATCGGATGGGGATGGAAGGGAGGGAAGTTGGGATTGAAGAATTGATTCTCTGAGCCTTACCTGGCGCAAAGAGGCGCGCCAGCCTTGGAGCGAGCCAAACGGCCAGGGCACAGCACACAAGGGTGACGCGGGCGGCAGGGGGCAAGGACGGGGAAGGGTGGTTGGTTGGTAGGTATGCATTCTTTGGGTCCGTACGAGGGCGAACATGGTTCGATGGGATCCAAAATTGTCCGTCACGTCATGTACAAACGAGTCTTGGACGGAACATATTCATTCATATTGGTTGCATTCGGCGAGACTGGGTAGGTAGTTTGGGTGGCTGGTGTCATGAGATGCAGGCAGCGAGCAGTGCGAGCAGCGTGACTCGTCGAAGCGCTTCAAGCTAGAAATGACAGGACCAAATGACTTTCCTTTTTTCTGGCTGTCTTTCTATGCACGAATCGGGACGTTGTAGACGGGGCATTTTTATTTATTAGTGCATGATGCGGCGACGAGCCAAGCTGTTCCCCAGCAGCCAGGGGCCGCTAAGTAGCACAAGACTGTCTGTCCTCCGTATCATTGGAAGGGAAAAAGAAAAAAAAAGGCCAAAAAAGAAAAGGCCATAAAAAGAAAAAGAAAACCTGCTTGAGCTGCAAGGAACACACGCCGCACGGGTCGGCCCCTGGATAGCTAGATACGAGGCCACGGCGCCTCGCACAGCCAAGTAGCGCCACGGCGCAGGTCTGTCGCAGGCATGTGGCCTATTTTATCTCGTATTCTCGATAATCTTGCTAGGTACATAGATATGGACAGACAGCACAAAATACACTCTCTCGTACGAGCCATACTCTTGCCTTGCGACATAGCTACCGTAGAGACAAAGGCTGCTTATTAACTGGCTTGCACACACCGCATCCGTCGACAGTTGTATCTCATCCTTGCGCAACTTGAAGAAAATTAAACATCCTGGCCGGCGGGAGAATGTACCTCTATCCGGCGTAGATCATCCACGATCCGCCCATGTCATGTCGGGGGTCTGTCAAGGGGGACCCATTCAGCGGCAGCGCGGAGATGCCATCAACGTGAGAATAGCAAAGACCAGTTGCATCATACATCAAACTGCCTTGTACGAATCCGTAGTTATTTGTATTTCCAGCACAGAGGTCATGACGGCAGACCATGTGCCGCCACAACGCCAAGGGATTCTGCTAAGCCCTGTGTGGCAGCCCGTATTCTCAACAGTAACGAAAGGTACATGCAGACGACGGCCGATTGTGCGTGTAAAGGAGGAGGGTGCAACTGTTCGCATGTACCGATCGGTATGGATCTCAGACCCAGTCTCTAACTTGGTGCCGAAACGAACCAGTCAAAACCAGCAAACCCACCCAATAATCCACTAGTGCCCAGAGCCGCTGTGCTGCGCTCTGTAGGTACGGATAACTACAGTGAGGTACAGTCAGTGGCCCACGGTCGCTGCACTGCTGAGATCCGGCCGTTCCAGGATTGCTCATCCGCTAACCCTCGTCCAGCGTCCAGTCGCCTGGCTCCATTCCCATTCCATTTTCCCACTTCCATTCCTCCTCTCTCACTTCTCACTTCATCCACCAAACAAAGCTCCCTCCCGTCTCACGTTGAACCATTCATTCTCCTTCCTTTGACCCGACCCGTCTGTACGCAACTGGTCCCCTTTCGTGTCTCTGGCACCTCTGGCACACACTACCGTCTCCCATTGTTGGCGGCCCGAAATAATACCGCACCGCATTGCCAAGCACACAACGCACACAGCCACCATCCCTCCGCTCGTTTCTTTACAAACATCGACTCTCTTGTCCCTCTTGACAAATCCTTCATCAACCGCGGAGGACAAGAAGAAAAAATTCATTCTCGTCAAATCGACATCCTTCATCATCACACGAACATCTCAACTACGAACCGGTCGCTAGCGTCTCGAAACCGTCCTTCTTTCCACCCGACGTTTTTTCCTCGTACCCGCCGCCGCAAGTGCCCAATCTGAGACACCTGCCGACAACAACATACGACACGCTTAAAAATATCTCACGAAACCATTATTCTCTTCGCTTTCTCTTCCACGCCAGCCCAAAATATCCTCATTGCCCGCAATAGCAATACCCTCGTTCTTCAACCCCTCGACTGCTGCGCTGTCGATTACGTCGCTACCGTTTTGCGCGACACCCCCCAGACCACTTAGTCCGACTAGGTATTCCGCCGGCTCGTAACCCGCGTGCACGCCGTTTTATCACCACAAACTCTCATTCTCATCAATCCGTCATAATGGGTACATCAACCCCCAACCTCGTCAAAATTCAATGCTAACTAAAATCGTCAGCCGCCAATCAAGTGCCCGTCACAACCATTGTCCCCTTTGCCGACCGCAACAAGCTGCCCGCCTGCGCCGTCTCCTGCAAAGCCCTCTACGACGCCAACGCCAACTGCGTGCCGCCCATCATCCCGTCGGGTCCCGTCTCCGGCTACGAGTCGTGCTTTTGCATCAACCAAAATGTCGCCGCCCTCTCCACCGCCACGGACGCCGTCTGCAACGACGTTTGCTCCGCCGAATCGGGCGGCCAGGCCTCAGTCGCCAGCTGGTTTGGCAGCCTCTGCCACGTTTCTGCCACTGGCGGCACTACTAAGACTACCACCACCACAAAGGGCTCTACCTCGGGAAGTACTGGCTCCGGCAGCAGCAATAAGAGTGGCGACTGGTGAGTTCTTGCCCATGATCAGCCTCATTTTCACCCCATACTAACTGCCCGCAGGATCTCCAACCACTGGCAATGGGTCATTATGCTGGTAGTCCTCATCGTCGTAATCGCTGGCGTTTGGATCGGCGCCTGCATCTGGCGCCGCCGTTACCTCCGCCGCAAGGATCGCCAGACCTCGCTCGGCCAGAAGCAGTCGGGCTCCGCCTCCCGCCCCTCTTGGGGCCCCGGCGCCGCCGTCGCTGCCGGCGTGCGTGCCTCCGACTCGGCCGTTCCCATGACCTACTCGAACAACCCCGAGGCCGCTTACCCCAGTTTTGAGTCGGCCGAGAAGCCCAAGCAAAAGAAGAAGTGGACCGTCACCTCGAGGACGTGAGATGGGACACATAGTAGAGTCTCTCATTTCTGCCTCGTTTTGCATCAACCGCGTCCTTGTTGACCGTGTCTGATTTCCTACTTCTGATGGCCCGACACGACTTTGCATTTTGTTTTCGCTTTGCTTTTTCGCGCTTGTACATGGGCAACAACGGCACCGTTTCATCGTCCAGATTTCTACGCTGAGCGCCAAACCTTCGGCCTCTTCGATGTCAGTATCGGAAGTTGACTCACTTCGGGCGACAGCCTCATCACGGAACATCCCTGGATGACACAGCACACTGGGAGCTCGATCCTGTTCGAACCACCGATTCCAGATCGATCCTTTTCCTGCGTTCTCGATCCTGTCCCCCGCCATCTGCCGTCTGCATTTTCGCTTTTTTTTCTTTGTCTCTGCTGACACTTGATATTCAATCTTGTACATGACTCCAGTCGCAGTTGTCGCTTTTTTCTTGACGTTTTCCCCGCTGTAGCCTACCGGGGCCAAGTATACAAAAGAGGTGGAGTTTTTGGCGTCTTTTCTTCTCTTGTTTTAGTTTCAGTTTTCTTCTTCTTTTGGATTGTCCGCCTACATTTATACATAGATGCATTTGCACCATGAGAGGAAAAGGGAAGAAGAGCAAGAGACGGAGGCAAGTATACATAGATGCTCTGCAGGGTCTTGTTGATCGACATGGACACTACTTTTGCCTCCCTTGCCCTTGTTGCTCTGCATCTATTCATTGTAATTCACATTCTTGTTTGGGTCGCGGAGCACCGGGGTAGGACTTGTTTTATACTGGCGCACATTATACATGGCAACGCTCAGGGCCGTCTCTCTTTCCCTTATCTTGTTCTTTGGATACCACGCATAAAACAATACGAACAAAGTTAAAAAAAAAAGTCAATGCTCTCTATGTGATTCTTCTGTATACAGCCGTCGTATGCTTGCTCCCCGCACCCTCTACCCACAGACTATTGTTGTCCCGCCTCCTCCAGCGCATCCATGTATAAATCGATCAAGCATCCCGCAGACCACGCTTGTGTAGGACTCTATTGACAAGTGGTTAGTACAATACTTTTACATTGGTGGTTGTTCAAGTCGCGAGAGAAAAGGATGTCGTTGCGGTCAAGCGGGTCAGTCGAATCTACACGTTCGTTGCACCGCCCCCTTGCATGAAGCGAAGAAAACACCCCTCAAACGAGAACCAAAAACCACTTACCGAGTCAGCGCAGTACTCTCCATTTTTCTGCGTCAGCTCCGTCAGGCCCGCCCACTCCGACTCTTGAATCATCTTTTTGCATCCCGCCAGCCGTCTCGTCACCTGCTGAAACGCCTCTGTTCGGCCTTGCGGCGTCGTTCGCCGCGCCAGGTCAAACTTGAGCAGCGCACGCAAGAAGAAGCCCGTCGGCCACAGCCACTCCGGACCCTGGTGGTAGTTGCGGCCCTTGCTTGTCGCCATGTCGTCGCTGTCTTCGCTGTTTCGATAGTACGGCCGGTAGTTGAGGTCGCTTGGGTCCAGCGTCGCCATGCCCGTCGGTCCACGCAGTACGCGGTCCGCCAGGCACAGCGCCTCCATGGCGTGCGTCTTGTCAAACAGGTCGGATGCAACCGTCATGGCGATGGGGAAGTTGCAGCGCAGCTGGTAGTCTTCGTATTCCTTGCCAGATTTGTACAGATCCTTGTACATGCCACGGCGGTTGACAACCTTGGGGTTCACGTCGTACTTGCTGTCGTCTCTTGGAGACAAAGGAACGTAGTAGCAGCGCTCAAAATTGTCCTTGAGCAGCTCAGCCCATTTGGCATAGGGCACAGAGCCATTGTCGGACTTGTTGACCCCCGCGTGTGCAAACTTGCCATTCTTGTGTAGGCCTGCCAGCCACTTGACAGTGCTATACAGTAACCCGGTGATTTCAATAGCGGCACCATCGCGAGGCGTTCCAGGAACACCCTTGGAGCCAGCACGTTCGCTTTCCCCCATTTTGTCCATCCATGTGCCACAGTTGGACTGATTACCACCGAAAATAATGCCAGTGGTCCAGTCTACATAAATGCTCTGATTGAAACCCTCGTCGTTCATTTGGGAGTCAATTTGAGGTCCAGCATTGGCTTCGCGGTACTTCATACCAGTGGCATGCCTCTGTAAAGCTTCTTGGATGACTTCTTCGATTGTGCTCTCCTTGGAGTAGGCACGAGGGTCATTGGTTGGGAACCAAGTGTCATCATAGGGTAGGAAGCGTCGTGGTACTTTGACCTGCAGCAAGTCTGCACCTTTGGGTGCCAGATTCACGTAATCTTGAATGGCTTGGAGAAAAAACCAGACGGAGTCTCTCGAGTTGTATCGAGGTGCGTCTCCGCTGCTCAGCAGGTTCGGAATCATACCATGCTTTAAAACGCTAGCGAACGCAAGAATGTGCTCCTTGGCTTCGTCAAAGCGTTCGGTTCCAAGGTACAAGCCTCGAATAGCGATGAACACATCACGCCCCCAGCACCTTGCCCACTCTACCGCAAAATGGGGTAGGCCGGCAGCAATGGATGGGACCTTCTTTTCCGGCCAAAGCGAGGCAGATTTGACGAGTCCAGTTTGCTGGACGCTGACCAGGGCCAGACTCTGAAGAAACCATTGGCTCTTCTCAATGCTAGGCGACATGAGTTCGAGAGACTTGTTCCAACTCGCTTGATATGCGGTCCTCATAACGAGGGCGAAATAGCGAGGCAGCAGGAAACTGGGGATGGCTTTGATAGCATCGAACCTGTCCTTGAGCCATTGTGCTGGTGCGACGAGCCTCTGCTGGCCGTCCAACTTGCTTTGCCGCTCAATTCGTCCTTGAAAGAAATCCAAAGCCCAGGCGCCATCTCGAAGATTTTGGCAAAGAGGGTGTGCCAAGTCATTGTTGTGAACAATATTCTTCAAGATGCTCCACCAACCTTGAAGACCAGCGTAGACAAGTTTGCCATGGGCAGGGATATCATATACGCCATGTGCACCACTACTGGCGTCCCTCTCCTCTGCATCGCAGCGGTACAGTAAAAAGTTGAGATCGATGAGATTGAGGTCCTTCCAGGCCTCTTTACTACCGGACGTGACGTATGTGTCAAGGCCTGCCGAATGCTCAGCCGCCGGGATCCACGTTTCGAATAGAGCGATACTGCCAGGAGGGAACTTTTCTCGGACTGTTATGATAGCATCGCCGCCCCTTTGCTCGATATCAACGCCCTTGATAGCAGCCACCTTGCTGGGAAGACCACGAAGATACTTGTCGTCGCCAAGTACCTTGGCCGTCGCCTCGTCACTGGCATCAACCTCCAACATCCAGCTGCCGAGGTGCTTTACCTTGGTTCCGTTGAGCTCGACTGGCGCAATGGATCCTCGGCCGTTGCCATAGCCCGGGAAAGCCGTATGAGCAATAAGGAAGTAGCCCTTTCTTGAATCAGGTTGGACCCTATGTACCGTAATGTACTGATCCTCGTGGTGAATGTGGGTTTCGTCGTAGGCATCTTTGCCCATGAGTGTGTGGATCTGATTGAGAAGCTTCTTGACGCCGCCAATACCGTTATTGCCGGTCGTACCCTCAGGTGGAGAGTGGGAGGACTCCGACGTGTAGAGGCGGGTCTCGTTCACAAGATCTACCAACTTTGGGTAGATTTCATCGTAACCCATGACACTACCGGTGGCGCTCGAGCACATGCTTACGAGAGCAGCATTGGCGAGAGTATCGCGGGCATCTCGCTTCTGGGCAGGGGTCTCGTTGTCGTGGGTGCAATCCATGAAGAGAGCGTGGACGGGGGTGGGTCGGATTTGCTTGACGATTTCTCTCGACAAGTTTCCCTTGCCGCTGGCGGTATCTGTGGTGGAAACTTCATCGACCTCAAAGCTCCCAATAGGTCGGCCGCCGTGTCTATGGACCAGGCGACTCAGCTCGGCAGTACTCCACGCCTGCATGGCTTCGCGAATAAGCGAGCTGAGGCCAAGGCGCTTGACAAAAATATAGTCGGTTTCTTCAGAGCCAGAAAACAGCTCCGCGACAACATACAAGTCGGGTCGCACCCTTCGGGCCTCGTCCAGGATATGCTCAGCCACGTGAATGGGGGTGGAGTGGCAGTTGTCAATGCGCAAGCCGACGAAGTACTTGGCAAGGAGGCGGGCATATTTGGTCATATGTTCCCATAGCCATGGACTATCTTCTGGCTTGGAGCCATACCGAAGCTTTACACAATCACCCCAGATAATAACCTCGCGGCGGAGGTATACTCTGGACTGAGGTCCAGCATTGTCGACCAGCGCGTTGCCGCCCCAAACCCAGCCATTGTTGACCAGGGCCATATCCTTAGGCTTAAGCTTGGAAGTGGCGCTGGTCTTGGGGAGACGTGTAAAATAAGATTCAATCAAGGGGTTTTCCTTGTTGATTGGACCAAGCTTGGGTCCGTTGTCATCCAAGCGAACATATTTGATCCTGTTGAACAGCTGTTCCAATGCTTCTTTTATATCGGTATCGTACTCTTCGTAAAATGGAACATTTAGAGCATCTAGAATTTTGGTCGTCTTTGCCCTGGCGGCACCCTTGGTGGCGGAGTGGCCATCTTTTTGATACTTGCCGAGAGCAAAGGACAAGACAGTGGCGCCAACCGCGGGGTCAACATTTCGCCTGAATCGGTCGCCTAAGTGATCGAGACCTTTGAGACCGAATGTTTTGAGGAATGCGGCTTGGTCGGCAAGTACATCTCCTTGGAGCCCCTCAAGAGAAAACGACTCAGCCGATTCCTTGGGAGGGGCAAATGTCTTTCCATCCACCCAAGCTTGCACAATAGCATCAGCATTAGGGTCGACGGCTAGCACATAGTATTCCCACAGGCGCAACTCTGTAAGGAGATTGTTTTTAACGACTTGCATGATCTTGAGCAAGTCGTCTGTAGACTTGGGGTCTACGGGCAATCCAAGCTCTTGAAGGTTGTTGCCTAGCTCTAGGAGCTTGGTGTCAAGCTCGTAAGCAGACTGGAGCCAAGGGGCAGTAGCAAGATTGTAGGCGGCATCGGGGTGTTCCTGCAGCCATTTCGTGTTGCTGGCGGTGTGATTGAGGACAATGTCGGTCAAGCTCAGTAGCGAGTGCTTCTTTTCCAAGCTATCGATCATGCGCTTTACGTCCTTTTCGCCGTTGGGGAAACAGACGGGGTCCCAGCCAAGTTGATCATAAAGACTATAAGGCGAATTGGATTCGCCACGGACCTGCAGTGGCGTAAAGTGAACCATGTTGTAGCCCCTTCCGCTGATTCCGCTGAGATGAGCCTCCCAGTCTTGCGGGTAGCGGCCCATGAATTTGCTGATGATGGAAAAGACGGAGAGGGCGGGGAGCGGCAGGGCACGACCGTCGAGAGTCAAACGGGGAGCAACATCGATGTAATAGGTTGGAGTCTGCTTGAGCGACGCCTTGTCGGTGTTGTCAAGGGTCGGTCGCAAGTCAGGCAGCTCTGCATAGGTGGTGTAAAAGGCAAATGCGCCAGCTTCGTATATGGGAACGGAAATTTCGATGGGGCGGTTGAAGTCGGGTTTCAAGCTGCGGGAGGTTAGGAATAAGCCAATTGATGTTTCGAAGCTTGCAATTGGCTCTTGGACAACTCACGGGAACTCGCGAAACTTGTCGCGGCGAAAGTCCTGACCCTTGTCGGGGATGTTGACCCATAGGCTGCCATGGCGGCAAATGGAAGACGCACCCTCGATGACGAAGCGGACGGTGACGGGGTCCCTCGACTTGGGGGCGAGGTAAACGTACTCGCCGGCGACGTCGGGCGAGCCGTCGTCGTTGAGATGCAACAGAAAGACCTCTCGAGACGTCATGGTGCCAGGGCTCATGATGGAGGAGGGGAAAACGTCGCGGGCAACAGCGCTGCCCCGCGGTGGACTTGGACGGGTTGGTTGGGTCACTTTAGGTGGATGCTGGAGCTTGCTTAGCTGGTGCAGGGGGGCTGCAGGAATGACGCTTTGATCGACGGGCGGGTGGGATGCGACAACAGGGAAATGGCTGAAGGGACGGGAGCTTTAGACGAAGAGTATCGTGAGATTTGTACAGATTAGGAGGATGGGATACTTGGTGTGGCACATGGAAACCGGACAAGGCCTGGACCGTCGTGCCGTCGTAGGGGAAGCTGGCAGCTGGCGACTGGCAGAGGGGCAAATGCTCCGGACGAGCCGCACTTGCATCGGCGATGTATTACAGCGATGTATTACAGCGATGTATTACAGCGATGTATTACAGGGCTGCTCTCGGGCGGTGTTGCGTCTTGTCGCTGCTGGTTTCAGTGGGCTGTCCGCTGCGGGGCTCGATATAGAGCCTGCAGCGGTCTGATGTCACCATATTTTCTTCTTTTCTACCTCAACCGCCAGCATCGCCATGGTCAGAGTGGCACCATCCGTCCGTCAAGTCCATCCTTACCTTATCCTTACGAGGAAAAAAACCATCAGATAGCCATCAAGAAGCTTTCATCACTTACTCTCTGGTTCTACACAAGTTCCAACCGCTGCTACCCAAATGTTGAGCCCCCATCATCTATCTGCATCTCAACAAACGGCTACGCTACACAAATTCCCTCACGCCACGATAGGACGGCGCATCAGCTATTCCGACATCGATATGGTTTCCATACGTAGTAACTCTAACAATACAGATCTCCTCTCTAGTGCGCACCCTTGGCATACTCAAACTCGCCCGCTTTCAGCGCCATGTCTACCGCCCTCTTGGTCGCCTCCTCCATGTCCTCCTGCGGCAGGCCCAGTTCCTTATTCACCACTTTGGCGCTGAAATCACCGCCGCCGTCCTTGAAAAAGGTGCGCGTGTAAAGGCAGTGCGAGAAGCCCTTGTAGCCCTCTGGTCCGCCCAGCAGCGTCCGGCCCGCGTCGTACCGTGCCTGCGCGTCGACCCTCTCCACCGCCCAGTCGGCGTCGGTCGTGCCCAGCACTCGGTGCACGCTGTCGAGCATATCGCGCTGCGAGGCCACAAAGCTCTTGATGAACAAGGGCTTGTTGCGCCACTGCGCCATGGTCACGTCCCGGTCGTGCTCGTCCTCAGGCAGTACCTTGAGGCTCAGAAACGCCGCTGCCGCGCGCCCACACTGCAGCCACGTCGACGTGCAGATGGGCACGTCACCGTCGCCAAACAGCGTTGCCGACCGCTTCGTAATGTCGATGCCGTAGCAATTGTGGCTCATGAGCGAAAATTCGTACCAGAACGAGCAGTTCATCGTCGTCCACGACAGCCCGTTCTTCTCCGCCGCCGCAATATTAGCAAACACCAGCGGCCCCGTCAGGTTCTCCGCCATGAGCGCCGCGTTCTCAATGTCGGTGCCATAGCAGGTCGGCATCACCCAGGGAACACCGGCTTTTCCCGCCGCTGACATGACAATCGCTTCGGCCTCGGCGCCGCCGGAGACGGCCATGGAGACGATGAGGAACTGCTGGCCCCGGAGGGCGCTGACGAGGGACTCCTCGTCGGCGTAGTCAACGGGCGCCTTGATGACACCCTCGGGGAGCGTGCTGGTGCTGCCAATGCGGGTGAGGGCCGTGACGGTGTGCTTCCCGGTTTGAAGAAGGGCCTGCGTCATGTATTTGCCGACATTTCCGCCGGCCTACTTGTAGTCAGCGGATGGCCAAGGAACGTACTCTGGAAACCAACTTACCCCAATAATGGCGACCTTGCTGACGCGGTTTACAAAACCTGCGGCCTGGTCCTTGGCGTACTGAGCCATTGCAATGTAGTTGTGTATAAGTCGTGTAGCTTGTCAAGTGTTGATAACTGCTTGTCCAGAGTCGATTGTCTGTGTAAACGTCAGGTTGTTGCTTGATCAGGAACCGATTCGAAAATTAAGGCGAGAATAAGCTTCTTATATACACCAATGCCGAACTCTCTTATTTCCTGCATGTCCGCGCCGCAGCTGTCCATTGCAGTTCTCGGTAAACCCCGTCCGAAGCGCCTTTTCCCAAACCAGCCTAGCGCTGCCACCCGCCATCTCCGCCAATCAGCATACAGTATTCCCACCGGCCATCTCGGAGTTAGGTCTTCGAAGCAGCAGCTCCGTGTCAAAGCTAAACGACAATAGCTGAGATACGAAGAATGAAAAAAAAAAAAAAACCGAGCTGGGATGCGACTATGCGCTGAAATCATGGTGCGTAGAACGCCTGGCGCCGAGCTCCGGCTGGTTTCTGGACCGCGAGCAGACGCGAGGTCCCGACCCGATCCACGACCAAGTTGCGGTTCGGTCCTTGGGACTTCGGAATAGAAACATGTAGTAACTGGATCAAGCCTCCTCTTATGGCGACGCACTGTCCTGGACGCGTACACAATCCGCACATCGGGCCAATCGCAGCGCAACCACCCTGCGTACCTGACCGTCTTACATCCGGTGCGGGCCGGAACTTGGTCCCACCGTGCTCTGTATAAGAAGTCGTCCAAATACTGCACAGTAGAAAAAACAACAGGCAACATTCAAATCATTCAAATCAAAACTACAACAATACCAAAAACCTCTTCCATTATCAATTAATTCTCACAATGCCCGAATTCAGCCTTTCCAACCCGACGCGCCCCATCCACGTCGGCGTCATCCTCATGAACAGGTTCCCCCCCCGTTTCCCGGAGCCGCGCCCCGCGCATCTCCGCTAACACCGGCTCACGCTTAGCACCACCGAGGCGCTCGACGTCGTGCCCGTCGACCTTCTCCACGGCGTCAGCCAAAAGTTCATCGAGGACATGCCGACGCTGATCCCCGCGCCGCTGCAGACCCAGGGCCTGCCCATCGAGTTCCACTGGGTCTCTGAGCACGGTCGCCAAGACGTCCGCCATCTGAGCAGCGGGCTCAACGTGACTCCCACCGTACGGGCCTTCCCCCCCTTGCCTTGTCCTCCTGCCTTCTACTAAACCCCCCTATTTTTTTTAGGACTCCTTTGCCGACTGCCCCCCGCTGGACATTGTGCTTGTCGGCGCGCACCACCTCGAGTACGTGCTCTCGGCGGCCGAAGTGGGCTTTGTGCAGAAAGCGTACGCCGGGTGCGCGGCGTTTATGACGGTCTGCGGGGGCGTGCAGGTCGCTGTTGAGGCAGGGCTTGTGGCGGGCAAGACGGTCACGGGCCCGCGGTTCATGCTGGCGCGGTTCCGCGCCGCCGCGCCCGAGGCCGCCGCGTGGGTCGAGAAGCGCTTCGTGCAGGACGGCAAGCTCTGGACGAGCGGCGCGCTGCACAACGGCCTCGACATGATGGCCGCGTTTATGCGCCAGACGTGGCCGCGCAAGGAGGGCGAGGGCCCGACGCTGGTCGATTTCGGACTCGTCTTGGGCAGCGGCCTGGACAGGGACATTGACTACAAGGACGAGCCGCAGCTCGAGATTCCGGTAGCGTAGGCACTGTCGAGGACGGAACGAGTCTGCTCGTATATGCCAATTCTATAGTCTGTGTATATATGCTAGTCTATGATGCATCCAAGTATGCCCATTCGTGTATGTTGAACCCAACACCGCTACCACGTGAAATGCTCCTCGAAATAATGTATGCTAAACGGGGCGTGCTCCAGGGCGTCCACCACCGCTCTTCTCGCAGCATCTGCCATGCCTGCTGGGCCACACGCCACCACCGCCAGACTCTCGATATCTGGCTCGGCCAACTTAGACGCCACGATGCCATGCACATCCGGCCTGCGAAAGTGCTCCTCTATGCAGCTGGAGATGCCACTTAGATTATCGTGACCCCGCGATAGGCCGTATAGTTTAATAGACACACGCTGATTGTCGAGTGCCTCGGCCATGTCATTGACGAGTACGTCTCTCGCAAAGGCTGATTCGCGCACAGACCAGTGAATGTCAAGTGATGGCTGATTCCGAGCCGTATTGGTCAAGAGGTCGAGATAGGACAGAGGTAGCACGACACCGCTACCCCCTACAATAAACACAACATGGCTGAATCGTTCCAGAGGCATCGTGTGCCCGTATGGGCCGTCCACCAGTACGCGGACCTTTGATGGCTCCTTCTTTGTAGCAGCCAGCTCTTTGAGGCGCTCCGTGAAGCTATCATATGGTCGGATGAGAAACGACATGACTGCAGGCTCTGACGCAGCCTTGCCTTCTGTGTCTTCCATGTCTAGTGTCTCGGTAGTGGCTCCGAGTAATCGAGCCTGCTCGACTTGGGAGTCCCCTCGACAGACAGTCGCCACAGTAAACGGATGGCTCTCCCAGCTGCGTGCCACATCAAGCACTGAAAGATAGTAAAATGTCCCCGGACCGACTTTATATATCTTTTCTTCCGCTGGTATTCGTAATCGTACAATATTGGAAGATGGATCGTAGGTCACGGTGGCCGATGTCGCCCATGACTTGGGCTTAAATGCCAACACGCGGCCGAGTCGCAGCGCCCTGTCCAGGACCCAAAAAAGGACGGCAGTCCAGAACGGACCATCATACGTGCCGTTGAAGATGGACACGTGGCCCAACATGGTGCCCAGAATGACAACAGACATGCCAATGTGCAGGATGAGGAACAGTTCGTACTTTTGTCGGCGCATCCAGTAGACGGAGCACGCCAGAAGGAGACACATGACGACAGTTGCAATCTCCCCCGCGCACCACCACCACCTCGTCCAATACGACGCAAAAGACGACCAGCCTCCGTGCCTCAAGATCAGGATGGTGTAGCCGACGGAGTGCACCACAGCCTGCACAGTCGAGATACGCGCCACCCAGCGGTGGAAATTGTTATAGGTGCCAAAGTCCCAGCCTGTCAGCCACAAGGCGACGTTGTTGCGCATACCGAACAGCCATATGGCGGGGAAATTGGCGTATGAGATGATGCCCGTGCGATCCGACACGTAGCGGAAAATCTGCTGTTCAATACTCGGGAAGCTGGGCCATGTTAGCAAGCGCCGCGGCTAGGTAGACTGTAATGCTCACTAGAGATTCACGGCAGTCAGGCGATAGCCGTGAACGCAGAAAACGAGGTTGATGAATGCAAAGACGGCCAAGGTGAGGGTTTGGATGCGTGGCGGAATCGTGCACCACCAGATGCTTTGTGCACAGCGATGGCCAAACGTCGCGGGGAAAAGAACTTTTCTCTGCAGCCATCTTGTCGCAGAGCCATACACACCGGTGGCACGCGTCTGCGGAATCTTTGGGCTCAGCCTGTACGCAATAGCCGTAAAAAGTCGGTAGCCGGCGCCGAAGGCGATGACCAGGACCCAGAACCACAGAATCGCAAAGCTACCTCGTTAGCATCGATATTGAAAGGGCGACCTAGGAGTATTCACCCATAATTAACATGATAGAATTTGACGTATTTATATGCATCCTATAAGTTTTTTAGCCGGAAAGCACCCTCAGTCAACGGTCCGACGCACTAAAGTCGTGTACCAAGCAGCAAACAGCGCGCTGGCCGGAATCATCAACTGATCGACCTTGTCGCCCGGCGCAAACGAGTCGTCCTGGTGCACGCGCTCCATCTCGCCAATCTGCTCCCGCGTATACCCATCGACGATGCTCAACGGCGGAATGTGGACGCCGTCCTGCGCGAGACATGTCTTGTGCAGCTCCGCGTGCGCCTGGTCGCGGGCCTCGGGCAGGCAGTAGAGGCCGAAGCAGAGAAACGTCGACCGCAGCTCGAGGCGGCTGGTGCAGGATTTCTGCCGCGCCCCGTCGGGGACGTCACCAAAGGGGACGCGCCAGAGGCTGGTCTTGCAGGCTTGGAGGCACAGTGGACCGTCCGAAGCCCAGGCCGAGGTGTTGGCGACGGCGTGCGTCGGGGCGTCGGCGGTAGTCCGCCCAAGCAGCAGCCAAAGGCTGAGGAATGCGGGAGCCGAGACGCCTCTCATCTTGCCATTCTTGAGCGGGCGCCGTGTTTCAGCGAGGGTGTACTGCGACGGGACGATGAAGACGGGATGGTGTTGATGGAGAAATGGGGTGAGCGAAATTAGGTTATCGCCCGTTATCAATCGCATCAGCAGATGCTTGGTGGGTCTGTCACGAAGGTGCACGAGATGAATAACAATTATAGCGAAATAATTAAAAAGAGGGTCTTCACTTTGAACACAACTTCTCGCTAGCGGCTAGAATTTCCGAATTAGATTGTAGTTCTCCGGGCCTCAATTTGAATGTAGGAATCCAGTTGCAATACTAGTGATTGTCATCCATGGCATGGGACTGGAATGATTACTGTTTCAACTCTTTTGGCTTTTTCTTACTCCCCGCAGTGTATAGTATATAGTGCCGGGTCAATTTAACTACTTGGCAGCTGCAGCTAAAACGCGATCGGAAAATGAACACACCGTGCTACCCGACTAGGCAGCCAGGCATCCAACTTCACCGCTGCATCATTCTTCCCGCACAACATGCCAACCTACTCTTAATAGAATGCCATTACCACTGTATATCCACCCTTGTGTCCTCAAATCCAGGTTCCCCCTCCACCCTCCACCCCCGGATTTGCCTCTCAGAATTCGGATACAAGGGCCACTTGTGGCGATTCAAAGACTACTGCCTAACGCTCCATGGAGCAAGATTGGAGATTTTCCCCAGCGCGGTGGGGTTGAGCTTGCAAAACTCGCCCATGAAGCTCTGTACAACCCGTCCGACAACGACAAAGGACAGCAGGAGATCAGAGTACGTGATGAATACCTGGCCTGGGTGTTGGAAAACCGGCGGCCTTTGGAGTATGTATATAAACGTCCAGTGTCGTTTTTTTGCCAACATTGAATAGTCATATTGACTATTACGGGGTCACCTTCGACCACCTCGTCCCATGCGACGACCCCGACCCAGAGGTACTGGTCATCAACATTATTGAGCTGGAAGTCGAAGTGGGCGATTACGCTGGCGGGCAAGAATTCGCGAGTAAAGTACTCCTATTCCCCGTCCAAAAGATGGACTATGCTGGTAAAAAAGTGTTGGCCGTGCCAAGATGTTGTCAGATCAAGAAGGGCACAACCGATCGCAAGCTCATAAATGGGTTGGTCAAGGAGAGGGACGACGCCTTGCTCGAGGCACAGACACTGTCGACTTTCGCACATCTTGATGCTACGGCCAGTCACTATAGCAGCTATCAGTGAATAAAATCGTTGTTCTGCTGTATTTGCCTGGAATATTGGAGATTCGGGTGTCGCACCTCGCGTCGGGGATGGTTATGGCTAGCGCCTCTGCTAACGCAGCCAACGAACCTCCATTGCGGCGGTACGCAATTGCAACTGTCATGAAAATGTGTCTATCGTCAATTTCAAAGGCAATGATTTCGTATACAAAACATGGAGAAAAGCAGGGATAAAAGTCAAGGGTAGCAGGCTCAAGAAACTCTTCCACCGCGCCGAGAACGTCGCCGAGTTGAAGGAGAGGACGAGTGCTACGAGGCTTACTACGCGGCGCACGAGTGGCAGCTGCTGTAGCGTACGCGTTCCGGGATGTCTATTACTACTAATATACTGATAAGCAAAGAAGAAATAAACATCAATCACGAAATTTCTCTGGCGTATCTCCTTGGGCTCTTGATAAGACATCATGCCCCTTCTCCGATGGCTGATCCTCCGCTGAGCGCCGAGCTTCCCTGTCCTCATCAACAACGGCGCGCCAGCCCATGTACCACGCACCTGAAAATAGCTCTTCCATGCGCTCCATCGGGACCCCCTTGGTCTCGGGAGCCCACAGGCCGAGAACGACCAGGCCTACGGCACAGACACACGCCCAGAACACATATGCCCCCCAGATGTGCAGGCTGACGAACATGTTCGGCGTGACTCTGACGATAGCGAACTGGAAAAACCAGTGCAATGCCATGTTGGTGGCAAAGCACACGTTGCGGATACGCGTGGGATAGATCTCGGCGCCGTAAAGATACTGCACTGTGCATAATCCGATGGACCATCCGGCCGCGTAGATGAAGACGGATGCGATCGCGGCATCTGAAGCTGCCTTATTGTGCTTGTCGATCCAGACGCCCATGTACACAGCCATGTAGATGTGGGTTATACATTGGAGAGATAGACCTGCGCAGAAGCAACGGCGGCGGCCAAAGACATCGACGAGAGCCCAAGTGAAGATCATGGTGAACACGAGCTTGACCACGCCGTACGCACCGCTGGTAATGAGGGAAGTGTTCTCGCCAACAACTCCAGCATAGCGAAATATTTCCGGGATATAGTACGTGATGCCGTTGCCACCAGACCACTGCGCGACCGTCTGCATCGCCGCACCAAGAAGGAAGCGCGTACGGTAGGTTCGTGTGGTCACTATTTCTTTCAAGATGGTCCACATGGACGAGCTTGCGAGAATTCGCTGCTTTTCGCGGAGTTCTTCGTGTATTTGGTCAAATTCGGCGCGAAGCGAGTCATCTTCAACCGTCGTTCCTCGCAATCTGGCCAACGAATTGCGTGCCTCTTCGAATCGACCCCTCGAGGCCAACCAGCGGGGGGTATCTGGTAAAAAGAGAGAACTAATGAATGCGATGCCCACGGGGGCCAAAACTATACCCTGCACAAGGCGGTATTGCATCCGTGTGGCAGGAAGAGTGGCATTGGCAGCGTAGTTGACAAAAAAGCCTTGAGGTAGCCTGTCAGCGTGGTAGAATGGGAAGCCTGGTGATATGATGGATTGACTCACCGATTGTCAAGATAGTCAGCAAAATGACCATGTAAATACTGACCACCATTCCTCGGGATCTTGCCGGGGCGATTTCCGAGAGGTACAGGGGAGCAACGACAGTCAGGCCACCAGCACCGAGGCCGCCCCATATGCGGGCGAAGAGCATCAGGCCGATGATGCCGGAAGAAAAGACTTGCATCAGGATCCCGCTTGCCCAAAGGAGAACGAAGAACTGCCAGCTTCTCAGACGGCCGAAACGGTCATTGATGGTCAAGGCAAGGAGAGACCCAAAAGCGGCCCCCAAAACGCCGAAGGATGAGATGTTGGCCTTGCGATTGGCCAGACCAGTCGCATCCCCATTCCAGAGGCTGGGGAGGAGACCGAAGTCGCGTTTGAACGAGTTGAGCCCGACAGAGGCGCTGAAGCCGCCTTCGTCATAACCTGCGTTGCCAGAGTTGGTATTGCATGGAAGTGCGAGACTGATGCGACGGTCGTACCTTTGGGGATGGAGCCGCAGGCGATGACGATGATGGTCGCAACGTAGTAGGCGTTGAATTTGGCCATGGCCGCTAGGTCAAACGGAATTTCCAGCTCTATGGCTCTTGGGGAGTCAGCAATGGACGAGAATGGCCAATTGGAGGAAGGTATCGTCACATACACACTCATAAATGATATTTCTTTGCAGCAGACTTCGGGAGCTTTATATATGCCGGATGACGAAGGTTTGCTTTCTGGGCAAGGGCCGCTTTGGCGTGCTATGCTTTCTTAGGGAACCCCTCAACCCCTTTCGACCCCGCGATCTCTTGCGGAATCGCGAATCGTCGCTTGGAAGTTGCGAGCGACTGTTCTGTGATGGATGGCAAAATTTGCGCGGAAACTTGCGAACCCATCCAGGCTGAGTTGTCCCATCAGGCTCGGGAGCTCGTCGAGGCTTACAACATAATTTTGTGGCGCAGCGCTTCGGGCGCGAACTTCTGTGTGGCGCACCGAAATAAGCACATTGTGGCGCGGCGCCCGGGGGACTCCCGATAAGGCATCAAGCAGACCGTGGATTCTGAACTAACATTCATGGTTCCCCTTCTATCATTACGTGGCTTCTGGTCGTTTTCAACAGTTGGCTAGCGGCTTATACCCGAGAACCCGTCGCACAATGGCCTCAATGCCGGGCTTCCACCGGGCCTATTCCGTCTGCTCGCCTCGCGTGCCTCTACAAAAGTAGGGCTCCCTCTCGTACGTGCTGGACGGCTCATGATCCAACATTTTCTGACCTGTGCTTGCGAGAATACTCAGTTTTCCAATTTTTAGACGGGTTCCCGATTTGCGATGCGCATTCAAGATACCTCTTTCCCCAAATCATCGCTCTCTACTTATGCTCTCTACGCGCGCAGGCGCTCACCTGGTTCTGGTGGCGCCGGCAACAAAGACCAAGCCACATCTCAGCAAGGACACATGCCACAGCTCAAAACTATCTCTCGGTAGCAGGATACCCCCGGGGGCCTGGGACTCGCACATGCACATACTTGATCCTGAGCGCTACCCGCTGGCCAAGGACGCGCTGTACCACCCCAACTCTTACACGCTGGAGCAGGCGCTGTCATTTGAGTCGTCCGTGGCGCTGGACAACATTGTTCTCGTTCAGCCGTCCATCTACGGAAACGACAACTCCTGTCTGCTAGATGCGCTCCGGGTCCTCGGTCCGCACAGGGCGCGAGCAGTGGTCGGCTTCGAGCCATCCACCACCTCCTTCGAGACGCTGAGGGAGTGGCACGCCTTGGGTGTTCGAGGGGTCCGGGTCAACCTATCGTCAGTCGGAAAACGAATTGGCAGCGATGACCTTCGGGACTTGCTTCATTCCTACGCTCAACACTGCAGGCTGATGGGCTGGGTTATCCAGATCTACATCCCGATGGGGATGATGCCGCTCCTCGAGCCGATCGTGCCCGACCTCGGCGTGAGAGTCTGCATCGATCACATCGGCCACCCTTGCCTCGCCGACATGTCCTCCGGAGATCCCTACGACATGCACGGCTTCAGGTCCTTGGTCAACCTCCTCAAGGGCGGCAGCACTTTTGTCAAGCTGTCCGCGCCGTATCGCCTCGGCAGCGAGGCGAACCCGAAGAACCTGGAAGCGGTGTCCAAGGAAATTATACGAGTGGCTGGCAACAGTCGGGGGGTTTTTGCGACGGACTGGCCGCACACGCGATTCGAGGGCCTTGACATTCGTCCGTGGATGGAGGCTGTTCTGGACTGGTGCGGGGACGACAGAGGTCTCGTGGAGAGGATATTCCGCGAAAACGCGCGAGAATTATGGGATACATAGAGCTTTGACTCCTGCAGATGTCGCTGTGGTTTGGTCGCGCTCCAGGCGTCTCAGCAAACTCCCGAAGTCATTCTGTCAACCAACAAGGATGCAAGCTCCCCAATCGAATCACGAATCATACGTCAAATTACCCGGAAGCTGAGCGAGCACAACAAACGCTGTTGATGCTTTTTGATAAAGATGAGTTGGCTCTCTGGTGTCTTTGAGGCGATATCAGTGAACAAGACATGAAATCTACCCATTACATCCATCTTCCTAGCCACGACACCCTCCACAGCAAAAAGAAACTGCCTTCTAGTAATATATTTCAGAATTTCTGAGCCAATATGGGTCCAGAATATTCTCAGATTCCCAGCAATCCTCTCGGCAGTCCGCATACCATTGGCTCAGTGGTACATCAAACGCCGTAGCTTCCGTGCCGCTCTCCGAGAGAACCACGGAAATATTTGCCGCAGTGGTAAGGCTGGGCAGTCTAACTGCCAAGTTGTAGATGCCTTGATTGGTCATCTCTGCGCAAGGACTATAGGCATTGCACGGATTCGTATCAATCAGCTCGAAATATGCGCCGGGAGGGGACACCGCCGTGAGGTGCATAGCTATGCCACCCTGCTCCAGAGTAGCACTTTGGTTGTTGTTAATTGTGACATTAGCCGTGGTGTGCCAACTGGTTGCAATATCGACGGGCTGCTGGGCGCGCACCTCATCACGGACGACAAGCACGCGATCATTCAAAAGCACCACGCCGCGGAGAACGCTAGTTGCAACGTCGGAGTATGCCTGCGTAAGGTTGGCGACACCAAAACGACTGGCTTTGTCAAAGCTACCGACCCAGCGCAGAGAGTTATTCGCAGAGGGAATCTGATTGGCGAAGTTCAGCGCAGTTTGCTTCTGTGTAGAGATGCTCAGCGTGTTGGCACCTTCGGTCCTGCAGCGGTAGTACTTCCAGCGAGTCGGGGCATGGAAATAGTCGGTGAGGCTGTAGCTGTCCGAGCCCAGCAGCTGCGCCCATCGGTAGCCCTTGTATTCTATTACAAAAGAACCGGCGTCGAGGTGTCCGTGCGAGCGGCCGTTGAAGCCGCCCATGAAGCCAAAGAACCAGCCGTTGGTGTCCGTCCAGGATGAGCGGTGCGTCATGCCGGCGACATTCTTAAACTGGTTGGACCGGGATGTGGTGGGCAGGAGACTGGGCGTCATGAGCGCGGAATCGTAAAAGACAAAGGCCTGGAACGAGGCCAGCTGCGCGGTGTTGAAGTGGGATACCATGGTCTGGAGCCATTCGGGCTTGTTGAAGCGCTGCGCAAAGTAGCCAACGCTCCACAAGGTGTTCGCGTTTGCAAAAAGCCAGCTACCATCGGCCCAGCTGAAGCCTCCGGCCTGTCCAAAGCCATGAGTGAGCCAGCCGCCATAGTTGCTGACTCCAGGCAGGTTGGAGAGCCCGAGGTCAGTGCCCAATGCGGTCTCCATAGACCTGAGCATCAAGGAGAGGAAGATTCCAGTGTAAGCGCCGTAGGAATGACCCTCAAACCACGCTCCATCAGGAGCATATTGCTCCAAAGAGACGTTGAGCTGTTTCATAGAGAAGTCGATTATCTCGCTTGCAAGCGCAGGGTTCTTATCTCCAACCGCCAGAGCAGCAATAACCAAACATCCGCGTGTCACCTGAGCCCAGTTGTTGGTGTGGGATACCCAGGAGGTGGGCGAAGCGGTGAGAGCAGGAGTAAACGCCTTGTTAGAAACTGCAAGCTCAATGGTGTTGCGCTGATCCTGTGTAAGCTCATCGTACACCCAGTCGTAGCCGATGGCGACCGTCATGGCAATATCCGCGGTGACCAGGAAGTTGGAGGGATCCCAATCAGGCAAGTTTGACAGTGTAAGAATGGTATTTTTAACCCATTCCGAGTAGACGGTCTTATTTCGCAACAGGAACGTTCCAGCCACGGCACCCACCTGCATGCGAGTAGTACTGGCCCATTTGGAAGCATCAGTTATGTTGAATGGCGTAGCAACAGCGGCGTCTGCTGTGCCTTTCAGTGAACAAATAATGCCTCGGTAGAATGAGTCCTGACGGATCATGGAAGCCACTTCCTTGATGCGACTGGGGGTAAGCATCAATCTCGGGTGGTCGGGGAGGCTTGCCAGGCTTGCCAAGGTATCGGCGGCTGCCGAGGTGAGCGCACCAAGGCACCACAAGAGAATAGATGCCTTCATTTGGAATATTTTGAATGGAGAGGTTTATTGGCGTAGAGTTTATATAATTGCGACTTTGTGAGATTTCTATCGTAATTGTGGCGAGATGATGCCTTTTTGTAGGTTTACGTGGTTGCATCAATGCTGCACCCCGCGATGCGGAGTATACGACGAGAAAACAAATGTAGATAGGTTCTAGTCTCCGTAAATGCAACGTCATGGCCGGAAGATTTACCCCAATTTCCGGCAGCGGAGGACTCTCGGGCGGTCATACCGGCGACGTGGGCACCATGTCTGGCCCATGTGACTGACTCACGGCGGCCTGGCCCCGAAGGTGGTTCCGGCTGCCCGTCTCGGGCTTCATCAACCGAAAGTGGTCCACCCGCACATATGCCGTTTTACGCCACTATTGATTGGCATTTAGTGCCGCCACATTCATTTCCCGCGGAATGGACAATGGTCGGGGGCACTATCTTGGCGATCCTACGTGGGCGCCACTTGAAGATTGAGGTCCCTCGACTGTTTGGCACCTTGGTGGGCACGCAATGCCTTTAGCAAAGGATTCGAATTAATGTTGAGACGAATGAATTAAGAATGACGATATGAGAATCGCAAGAAATCACGGCAAAGACTTGAGTTTTGTACCTCACCAAGTTATTTATGCCTCAAAGTCATGCCACGGGATGTCTCCCATACACTGCACAATATTATTCAATACATAATGAGGCAAAAAAAATGTTGCTGAATTTTCTTCCCATAGGGAGGAAACTTTTATGACGTGTCTTTGTATAGAAGCTTATCGCCTGGCCATAGACCATTAATAAATAGATCGCGCGGCGGAAGTCCCTGCTGCATGACATGAACCGGCATATATTATATATATATATATATATAATCTATTGCTTGATAGCAGCGCCAAACAACCTATTCAACGGCGACAGACTAAGGAAAGTCTCCAAAAAAGCGCTTTTCTAAGCCTTCTCCTCGATCTGATCTATCATATCAGCCTCCTTTCCAATTCCATCTAGCGCGAGGTCGCCTTCCGCTGGCATATCCTTCACTTTAAAGGCCACAGTCAGGGCACACAGCCAGCCAAAAAAGAGAATGCCACAATTCAGCCCGAATTCCACATTGTAGTTGGTGCTGCTAGAGTTAATCTTGGAAGCCATGGCGCTTCCAGTAGCCTCGAAAGCCTTGAATGCACCAACAAATCGAGCGGCCTGTTCGGGTGATTCATCAGCGAGGTATGCCAATGTCCAATAGCAGAGCGTCTGCCAGATGGCATCAAACGCTCCGTAGCAAAAGTACAGAACGAATGGGCCGGCATACTTTGTTCCAGAGTCAACCAGGTCCATTTCACGGAGTTTGTAATAGTGACCGGACGGCCCTCTTCGAAGCTGGAGTGCCAATCCACCACCCCAAATCACGAGTGCGAGGAGCCCAGAGAGCATATAGCCCCATATCGCCCGGCTTCGGCGCCCCATCCTCTTGTTGTCCAGAAGCATGCCGCACAAATAGCTCGAAACCATTTGCGCAAGCCAATACATGGCTCCGTTGAAAGAACGCGTACGGATATTGAACAGCTTTCCGTTGACAGTGTTTTGCTGGTAGTTGTAGAAGTCTGGATGGGACATGTTAGCAGCTGCGACACTTGGATGAAACGGACTGGGCACGATAAACATACAGTTGGCCGAAAACCAGAATGGGATCAGAGCGATTGTTTCCCAGCGGCCCAAAATCTTGACCGTGGCCACAAACTCCTTCCAGATGGACGGTCGCTGCGCGACACCAGCTCGGGTTCCATCCTCTCGAATCACGTTCTCGGGTTTTAGCAAGAATAGTGCGCAACAACAGCCTGCGGCCATGATGCACATGAAGGCAATGTAAGTTGAGTCCGTCACGGTGCCTGCAGTGGAATGAAAGTTCAAGGCAAAGGATATAATGGAGCCCAGAAAGCCGCCGAGGCTGAAGAATGAGTGTTAGCCCGGAAATGAGCTCGCTGAGTCTCACAAACTTACTTGAAGATGAACCAGAAAATACCAATTGAGCGACCATGTTGACTGGGGAGAGGGTAGCCGGTCATAATTCCACCTTGGGCGATCCAGAGAAAAGAGGCTCCAATTCCAAGGACGCCTCCAGCGGCGACAACAAAGGCTTCATTCTTTATGTGGCTGTAGGCAAGAAGCGAACCAGCATAGAGAACGTAAGTTGTGCCTCCAAGGAACAGTGTCCATTTCGGTCCAATCTGGTTGGTGACGACGGGAGCGATGAACAGATTGCCAAAGGCGCTGACGGAAGCCAATGCAATGTGGGATTTCGCTTGCGTGGTGCTATTCAGCTGGCCGCCTCCACCAACTCCCGTCAGTGCGTTGTATATTCCCGGGCATCTTGCCTAAATGTTAGCTACAGGAAACTTGTCTATTCCGTCAATATGGAAGACGCAAACGAACCCAAAGGCAACCAGACTGACAAGAACGACTTGCCAAAAAGGCGAGTTAAATCGCCGAAAGGTACTCTGATAGTTTTCTGCCGCCATGGTTGTGCTGATTGTAACTAGCGAGAGTGAGTTGACTGAAGCAGGGGACTCTGTGATGGGCTTGGACATTTTATAGACTTGTGAGGACGGCAGCGCATCATGTCGCCGCAGCGTTACGCATCTCGGTGTTGGCTTCGCCGATACTCTCATCCCATGTGGCTTGCGTCTTATCAGGGTAAGACTGTTATGAATTGTGGCTCCAGCGCCGGCGACCGGACCGATGGCGTCCCTGCTCCGGCCGGCTGTTGTGTGGGCTGCCTATCTGTGCGGGGATCATACCCCATACTCCTTCTGTCAGTAGACGCCATCATATCATGGCGCCTCAGAAAATTGTGGCGAACGATTTTCATGTCTTTTCTGTTCTCCTGGTAAATAGCGTGACAGACGCGACGTTGCATTGGCAATTGTCAACTCCGCATCCGGTTATTCGGCAGGCAGAGTCTACTAGGATGATACCAAGAACACCAAGAACACAACGGATTAGAACAAATTAGGCGCGCCTGTCTTCCCCATAGTTGCAGCGAAATCGCAACCAAGTCTAACGAGTCGGCCCACTAACTATCTCAGCGCCTCTGCCCAGACTCTGTGAATGACTACGCAAGCCGGTCTGGTTCAGTCTCCCTCGACGGGACGGCGGCGAGTGCCCGAACCGCTCCGGATGGCCGCGCTGTTGCTAAACCCAGTAGGTTAATAGGTACTAATTAGTAAGGTTAGTAGGTAGTCACGTCACAGGGCGACACAGTCTCTTTACAGCGGGGAGACATCCTGAATACTTGCACAGTCGAGTTCAAAAACTCAACGCTAAATTTCGCTGGTGTAGTGAGCAAGGCTAGCTGTACCGATGTCATCCATAATCATAATATATTCTCGCAAGTATCTGCCAGCCTACATTCTAGGGGCCGCCTGTCACAGGCGTGGTTCGATGGGTGGCATTTCGCCGTATAGCCACGTTGGGCTGCCCCTGGAAGGCATCCTTTCCAGCACCGAAGAGAAGCTATCTACCAAAATAACCCCCGAGTATACTATTATCTTCATCTTTCCTACTTAAAATTTTTAGCTTTCTAATTCTACGTATTTTTTCTTTACTCTTCCTATATTTCTTACTCTCTCAATATTTTTTATTCTAAAGCTCCTTTTTTCTTCTGTTTACTACGTTACTACGTTACTACTACAACTAGGAACTCGCCAGCTTCTACTGCCAACCGCATGCGGCTTCCATCTTTAAAATATCTAAATAAGTCGTTCCCTATTTAAGTACACTGTCAGAGACATAGCAGTGTTTAATACACGGGGGATATACTGCTTCTATTATAATCTGAAAATATGAAAAGTCCTACACTGACCACTATTAGCATCTACCCTGCATACTAGCAGTGAAACGGCTTTGGAGAAGAGCCAGAGTTCTCTCCGACATGCGATTCTTATGATAGTCTTGCCCGAAATGACGGCGCCTTCAACAGCGCGCAATCCGCTGCTTTTACCCGAAATCCTCTGTCTCGTCTTGTCTTTCATTACTGACGACGGTGAAGCCTTGTCGTCAGCCACACGCGTCAACAAGCTGTGGTTCAACCACTCCACGCCCCTTCTCTGGAACGGGGCGCCGTGGGAAGCTTTCATGAGGCTGGAAGAGCACCATCACATACAAGAGTATGCACCGCGGATACGGCGGCTCGTATGCACGCGAGCGCCGCCGCCAGAGGGTAGCAGTGACACGATGCTGTACGGCCCTGTCCATCCCAGAATTGACCCGGAAGCAGAGGCTGTCAGACGCGGTGTCATGCGGCAGTTCTTCCACTCTGGCACGCACCAGGTGGTGCTGAGGAACTTTCTCACCGATGGCTTTTTGCAGGAGATTGGTGCGCGGTGCGGCAATTTGCGACGACTGCACATTGACAGCCGCTACGGCGGCTTGAAGCACGCGACGCTGATCCACGTCCTCTCCCGCCTAGACGCGCTCGAGGATATTTCCATCCTGGCCCTCTGTCCCTCGGCCAACTCCTCGGACCTTTTGCTGCGCCTTGCGGAAAAACCAACACTGAGGAGCGTCCGCGCGCGCATCATGTTTACGACGGACAAGCTGCGCCAGATCAAGACGACAGTGTCCAGGCCGTTTCAAAAGCTCCGGACGCTGTACGCGAGGACTGCCTCGTCGGCCGTGCCCCTGCTCATTGACTGCATCGGAAACATCACGACGCTTCACCTGCATGTCATAAGCGGCGCCGCGGTGCTGCAGCACGTGGCGAGGCTGACAGCGCTCACGTCCCTGGAAGTCCAATACCACGGGCGCGGCTCGTTGACGAGCGCCGAGGTCATGGCTCTGCAGCCGCTCGACGGGCTTACCACGCTGAGACTCTGTGACGATCGGAACCGACCTCGGTTTGGGCAAGCCGACGCTGCTTCGGACTTGTCGCCGCACGACTTTGAGCATCTCCTGTCCAAGATGGGCAGCCGCCTCGTCCACTTGGAGCTTGACCTCCCCTGCATTATCGTAGACGCTCTGTTCATGGTGGCCAGGCACTGCCCGCTGCTGAGAGCTTTCCGGATGCGCAAGTCACCATGCCACCTGCCTGCTCCGACGGACAGCCAGTGGTCAGGTGCAATGTGCCCCGAACTGCGGCTGCTGCTCGTCTGGTCGCTAGGTGGCGACCCGGAGCGTGATTCGAACAACCCGTAAGTCTGATGCAAAAACATGGGGCGAAGCAAAGGCCCGCGACAAGTACAAAATACGTCTAACCTGTCCTCTAGACAACACGGACCGGATCTTGCTCAGCGGCTGCGTGTTCTCATGCCGAAGCTCAAGTATCCCATGGTTATGGAGGAAAGTAACCCAGACCGATCAGTTCTCGACGTCTTTCACTACGATGATCCCACGAGTGTTGCAAACACCGAATATTGCACGCGACGTACTGGCTGTCCTCACGATCGTTGTGTCGGGTACAGTTTCGACGGTCACATCGAGGAAGAGTTGAGCGAGGACTATGATGAAAACCGGTACAATAGCAATGGTAATGATAGCAGTTGACAAGGTTAGCTAAGGTGACAGGCAACGGATATGAAGTCTGTTCGATCTACGGGGTCATACGCCAGAAGCCTCGCCAAGTCAGCTAGGCTCAAACTCCGCTTCAGCCTCAACCATGCTCCAAATACCTGTGTTGAATGTTGGCTTGGGATCCTGCCCGTACTGTTTCCCCCCCTGTCCTGAAATTTGACTCTGTCTACTGCATGTGGTCTAAGCTAGCGACGAGTTGCAATTGCTCACGACGGTGCGGAATCCTCATTTCTCGCCCAACTACGGTCAGCTAAGGGGCGCCAAGAACATAGTATGTTAATGGGGTAAATATAGAGCTGGTTCGGCACCACAATGTGTCACAATGCGGGGACACTTGTATTAAGTCAGTGTAGTTAATAATATTAGGCCTTTCCTCGTCCACAGACAAGGGCCTTTCGTGGTCGCTGGAGAAGTTCATGCCTGTACAAGCTGCATTTTATCCACACAGCAATGTCCGGGATTCTCGACGGATTAATATTGAGAGGTGAATTATCATTAATCTTAAACGATAATATCGCGTGTGGATATTCCCACTGATGAAATCAGACTCGCGCAATCCCCCGGTCCTGGTCTGCTTCGTGCCTGCTCTGCTGCGGATAAAATTGCATTTCGTAGCTTAATAGTAAACTATTTAGTATATCCCTCCACTATGGCCCCATCACTTTAGTTACTACTCGTTTGAAGCCTCTGAGTTAGCAGCAGTACTGGGGGTGGCCGTTGCGAGATGTGGCAATGAAGCCCCAGGGCGGGTCACAGCCGTGGCCACCAGCATTCATCTGGTCTCTATTGATCTCGTAGATCCAACCTTGGCACAGTCAGTTAGGAGCGTAACTTTGTCGCTTACTACGCGCCCAACTTACCATTTTGGCACATGCAGACCCCCGGCAGACAGCAGGTTGGGGCGGCACTAGCATCATGTTAGTACCTTGCGCATTTTCGCTCACATCATGAAGGGACATACTGATGGTAGCAACCACTGGCTGTCTGGCGAGATTCAAGATCAAGGTCGTGGTCTGGCTGGATGGGGCTGCCAAGGGCGGCGGCCGCTAGGGCGAGGAAACAGAGAGAGTTGCGAACCATGTTGTACCGGAATCCGAGGCAGATTTCTTGGCTACTTCGAAACGGTCGGCATCAGCTAGACGGATCCCGAGTTTTAAACATTTCGCCTCCGGGCGCAACTGTACAGCCTTGAAATCGCATGTGCGCACCGTCGTTCCGTATTCTCTCGCGAACGTGTATACCAAAGACGTTTTCTCGCGGAGAGGGTTAATCGTCTTCCTTGGCATGCACCTCTCGGTGACTTTGAGCTATTTGAAGCTGGATGGAAAACGATATTCGGCGCAGCTGGCCATGACTTCGAGAATGTGAACCGCGTGCGTGGGAATTTGTAGGGCTTCTTGACAGGTGCCGCCGCCGCTGAGCAGGAGTCAATGAGGTTGATAGAACCTTCAAAAGCAACTGCAGCGGCGGGTCAGTATCCTCAACTCCCCGTATATCCACTTAAGAGCGGCGGTAAGTCAGCTTTCGGTGACTTCTAATGCAGTTGTCGGCGAGTAAATTGTTGGGCTATGCTCGCTGCCGGAGAGGGCTCCTCCCACGACGCGAGTTTTTGGCAAGGCCAGACCTAGGATGAGCATACATGCATGTAAGTAAATCCAGGGGCTAAGAAATCGCAGAAGCTATAATACGCGGCGATATTTCCTGCAGACTGCTGTCGGCGGTCGAATGGACCCCGCCACGGCGCCGACACTAAACTGCCAGGTACCGAGGCCGATTCCTTTCCACATACGGCTGCCATTGTGTGGATATAGTATACTCGTTGAGACCATACACATCTTTCTATCATGTCCAGTGCCGGGCCTTCTCCACGACTTGTCCGGGCGGGTCATCGTCATTGCTGCACGAGATGAGGAAGCATAACATCTTCGGTGACATATTGAAGTTGGTGGAGAGCAGCATGTCGTGATTATTAGTCGATTATAGTCAAGAGAATCTTGATTTCGTAAATTGTAAGTTAAAGGGATCTAGTACCCGCCCAGTCTCTGCTCAGATGTCATATAATATACCAAAAGAGCGAATCCGCGTGAGGAGAACTTCCTAAAGCTTGGGTTCTTTAAAAGAGCTCTTATTTTGAGACTACTATGAAGCTGTACGACAAAATACCCTGGGCTCTAGCAGCGTTTTTCGGCATCGTTAGGCCGAGTATTGCTCAAGCGCAGGAACTTGACTGGGATCAAATCCAAGCCACCATCGACACCTCCAAATTCGAACCAGAATTTTTGAAATCTCCGCCTGTCTCTCCTCCTTATATGGTTGATAATACAAGAAACACTCACAATGTTGCGCCTGTTAATGGTAAGCTAATACTCCAACGAACACTGTCCTTGCGCTTACTCTCGACAGGAGAATCGAACGGTGCCGTGTGGCCCCAATTCGGCAGCAGACAGGGCTATATGGAATCCCTTAAAGAAAATGACAACATGACTAGGCATTCCAACTCGTCTGAGGGCATGAAATTGTCCCGTGCGGAGAGCTCAAGCTACTGGATCCCGCAGCTAGCTCCTCTCGGGGTGGTATGAAACAGATTGTGGCATGAAACTCTGTCTCGTATGCTAAATTTTACTCTAGGCTCCTTATTCTGGAAAGGACTACAAGTTCTATCGAAATGTGGTCGACTATGGCGCGGATAACACTGGTGCCAAGCCTGCTGATGAGGCCATCAATGCGGCGGTGCAAGATGGAGATCGCTGCGGAGAGGAATGTGGAAACACGTTTGTGCAAGGTGCACTCATATACTTCCCTGTATGTATTTGCTCTTCATTACCTTTCCGGCAATATCCTTTTTGGAGTGCAATTTATCTCAGTACACCTGCTCAAGCCCGCCCTAGCCTGGTACCTATTTGATTTGCACCCCGATCATCCAATACTACTACACACAGTTTGTCGGAGATGCGGTAAACCGACCAACTTTAAAAGGTTGCAGTAATTTTACCGGCATAGCAATTATCGACGTTGATCCGTATATTCCCAACATGGCGGCGCCGGACGGGGGAGGTGTCAACTGGTGAGTAGAGCTGACGCTGCTACTGCTTTGACTGAGCATCCACTGACTCTACGTAGGTACATCAACCAGAATCAATTCTTTCGCCAGATTCGGAATTTGGTGTTTGACATGAAAGATATGCCTGCCGCCACAGATGAGCATGGACAGCAGCTGGTGCCTACTGGTATTCACTGGCAAGTCTCACAGGCATGTAGCCTGCAAAACCTGCGCTTTGAGATGCCCCAGGCGTCTTCTTCGTCGCAAAACATCACACACGTCGGCATATTTACTGAGAATGGTTCCGGAGGCTTTGTGTCTGATCTTGAATTTGAGGGCGGAGCCATTGGCTGGCGGGTTGGTTCTCAGCAGTACACGGCCATCGGCCTCAGGTTTAAAAATTGCATCACCGCCGTTCAAATGGTCTGGGACTGGGGCTTCAACTGGCAGCGAATTCACGTCGATGGCGGAACAATCGCATTCAACATTAGCGGTCAAGGAGGGATTGGTCGGCAAGGGATTGGGTCCGTCTCCATCATCGGTATGAGAGCTCGTTTCTTCTCATCCATGTGTCATTACTAACGTCACAGATTCTGATATCAATAACGTCCCTATTGGTATACTCACAAACAACCACGAGGACCAGGCCCCAAATATTGTCATTGACAACACAGTCTTCACGAATGTGGGTGCCATTGTTCAGCTTGACAGTGGCTCACGGCTGTTGGAAGGCGGATCGCAGACAGTGCAGAACTGGGCTCATGGCCGACGGTACGAGGGGAAAAGCGGCGAAAGACGTACAGGCCACTTCAAACACCCCCCAAGAAAAAGCAGCAAGCTTTTGGACGGCGGGAAGCTCTTTACTCGCTTGCGACCGCAGTATGAGCAGCTCTCTGCATCGAGCTTCTTGATCGCGACCGAGCATGGCTGCAAGAATGACGCAACTGGAGATAATACGGCGGCCATCAACAGCTTCCTTCAACAAGCGGTGCGGGCAAATAAGATCGCTTACTTTCCTGCTGGTATTTACAACGTTCAAGACACAGTTGACGTGCCCGTTGGATCCAGAGTCCAAGGAACGAGTTGGTCGCAATTGCAGGCTTCGGGGACCAAGTTTCAAGACATGGACAACCCCAGAGTTGTGGTCCGGGTCGGGAAACAAGGAGACGAGGGCGTCCTCGAAATCGTCGACATGCTGTTTACAGTCAAAGGGAATACAGCAGGTGCCATCATGATGGAATGGAATGTACATGAGCCTTCTCAAGGCTCTGCGGCCATGTGGGACTCACATATTCGAGTCGGAGGCGGCATAGGGACAGATCTTGACGCGGCCAACTGCCCAAAATTGGCTTTCAATGAAGCCTGCATTTGCGCTTCTATGCTCCTTCACGTCACCAAAACTGGATCTGGTTATTTTGAGAACGTCTGGGCGTGGATTGCCGATCATGATAACGACATGAGCCTCTACTGGGAAGTCGACTCCCTTGCATCTCAGATCAGTCTCTATGGCGCCCGCGGTATCCTCGTTGAATCTCAGGGGCCCTGCTGGTTCTATGGCTCGGGTTCAGAGCACGCAGTGCTTTATCAGTACCAATTATACAAAGCCAAAGATATATACCTTGGCCACATCCAAACCGAATCGCCATACTTTCAGCCGGTGCCGGGAGCTCCAAGCCCCTTCAATTCATCATCCATGGGCTTGTTTGCAGGAGACCCCAAATTTGAAGATTGTGAGACAGAATCCTGCAAAGAGGCTTGGGGTCTGCGCATAATTGAATCGGAAGGGATATCTATCCATAGCGCAGGCTTGTACTCTTGGTTCACCAACTACGGACAGCAATGCCTCAGCACCGAAGACTGCCAGCAACGGATCATGGAGGTGACAGCTTCCAAGGACGTGGCAATCTACAACATCTTTGTCAAGGGAGCCCAAGAGATTGCGACCACCTCCGGCTACAGCATCGACCAAAGTGAAAACCAGCAAGGGTACACCTCGGAAATTAGTATTTGGCTTCCGTATGATGATGCGCCTGAAGTTGTCTATATTGGTACAGAAATATACCAAAAGCCTACAGCTTCATGCCATAAGCCATGTGTCATGGTTTTGGCTCCGAGTCCTTTGCCTTCCACCACCACCATTTCCATCAAACCATACACGACATCGTTGCAGGTTGGGTCGACCATTACAACCATTACAGTCACCCCAAAGCCGGTCACAACAGATAAAATGCCATTTTACAACGTCAACATTACTGCTGGAGCCACTGATGGAGCTATATATAGAGCAACAAAGAGTCTTGCTCTAGAAGATGTTGTTGTGACGTTGTCCCATGTTGCGGGCACGGAGACAGCAACAACCACTCGACGATTACAACTGCCCCCATGGCCCCAAATCAATAACGGACCACCCGAAAACTGGAATTTAACTACGCGCGAAAATAAAAATCAAGGTGGAAAGACCACAAGGCTGGTACCTAGTCAAGGGGGAAGAACAACAACTCACATTCCCCCGCCACCCCCGACCACAACAGTGTTTCGTAAGTATCCGAACGAGCCGATGGACCTATAATCAGACACACTCTAACATCAATCTACACGGCAAAGCAATTTTATATCTCGATCCCATATACGAAGATATATCTCCACAGTGCACCAGCCAAAATTGCCCTCCAATGGACGACAAGAGGAGCAACGACGAACACAAAACCGTTGTATGGATCCGAATTAAATGTGATGAGCTATGGTTCTTCAATGTGAGTACAGACCTTTCATAATCACGCGTTGGCTGACATGTCTGTGACAGTTCTGTATCGATGTCAATGGCCTCCGTGTCCGCGGATGGGAATTCCCGCTTCCCAAGGGAATTATTGGGCCGTATGTATACTTCTCTCAATTTCCCAACATTCAAACCCTGTTCAATAAGCTTATTATACAATAGGGGGCCGCCGCCATTCGTACCCAAAATTCGCGGGTGGCATTTGGTCCTTCCCCCCATCCTACCACCGTGGCCTGTGATCGAGTGAGTCAACCATCACTCTCCAATCCATTTCCAGGACAAAGTAGAGACAACCCTCTAAGCTAACATAATAATAGGGTTGGTGGGCCCGGCTTGCATTATGGAGAGAAAGACCCCAGTTGCGAGGATAACAAAGTCTCGGTATCTATCACAGCCACACAGTTCTGGGAAGACAACTCTCTGACGCAAATGACAGGTTCCTGTTCAACTTTACACTAGATCATACGGACTGTCTATATCCAGCGGAACGACCGTTACAACAGCAACACGAACGATCACTGAGACAGCATATGAGACGGGCTGCCCGACTCCAGAATGGACTTCTACAGCAGCGTGTGACGCAAATGTCCGACGTACAGCATCCGACTTGACTCTGCCCAGAACTCAGATTCCTACTGCTACTCCAATTATTGGTACTGACGTGGCACGAAGCATAAGGTCTCGAAATGAAGATGAGTGGGCGCATGACTTTGACTGTCAGGGAGGCGAATCGGACGTCATCATATATCTCAAAGACGAGAGCAGTGAAACCGACGATGAGCAAGTTAAAAAACGGCTCAAATATGATTTTGTCCATTTTGAGATGGAATCCAAGGCGTTTCAACACGAGAGCCTATACATTTTATTCTTCTATGCCTGGAATATGCCAAAAAGCTTGCGTGACAAGTTCGCCATCATGCCAATGGTAGGTCCCGGCCTGATGTGTCTTGTGTCAATCGACATAATTGAAAACAAAGACAGTAATTATCGCTAATACAAGTCTGCCTTAGGTAGAGAACATTCGGACGGTGGAATCGTTTTTGAACGACGACCCCAAATCCAGCACTTCACCGTCAGTAGACGCATTGAAGGGGAAACCAATGCCGGGTGGAATCTCCCCCAGGAGCAGCCCTGAAATCAGAAGCTGCCCTCCAATTCTTGAAGATGAGCAGACAAGTCAATCAACGCCACGCAAGCATCGAGATATATGGTGGCTGTCGCAAATATCCAGTTATCCTGGAGAAGAGTGGGAGTACGAGGGAACAGACGGCGGGGACCTTGAATCACCACTTTTCTACGAATACTATCATGATAAATCTCTTGGTGAGGGTCAAGTTGTCTATCTCCTAGAGGAAGGTTTAGATACCAAGGACGAGGTTTGTTACTGGCGAAGTATCCCAGATCCGTCCGATAGCTTGCTGATTTCGTCTCAGGAATTTTCAGAAGCCTCCATACTGCTCTTCTCAAGATTTGACAATATTGGATTTCCAGCCTCGGATGTCACCCATGGAACTGCAGTCTCAAAGCTAATGGTTGGTAAAACATTTGGAGTTGCGTCCAAGGCAACACTAGTTGCATTCGACCGCGTCGGTTTCTTCGTCGAGGAAAGTCCGATAGAATTGCTACTTATTGCTCTGTTGCGCATTATTGAGCACATAGAGGCGAACATGAAAGACAATGTTGATAACCTCGGCGACATTCGAGGCAGATGTGTGATCAACAAGTCATTCCGGTACAGTATTCAGGACTCACCCGAGTTCCAGCCCTTTTCACGCGGGCTCGGTGAGTATAGTGACTTGATATTGTCATATGTCTGCATACTAATAATAACACCCTAGAAAGACTCAGTCGCTACTTGCAGGACGACCTCAATTGCCTGATGGTTGCGTCGGCTGGCAACAACGCCAACACAGGAGAGCATACAGATGAGGGTATCTTTGGCTACTTGAAGTATGCTGGGGGCTTACCCAACCTCCTCGTCGCCGGCGCGTGTGGAAAAGCAGGCTACAAGGCCAGGATGAGCGAGGTCTGGAGCAGCGGTGATGACCAGGATATGATCTATGCCGCTGGACTGCGACTGCAAATACCAGGGCAAGAAGGAACAATCGACATTTCACGCGGAACAGGCACCTCTCTTGGTAAGCTCGTGTATACGGTGTGGCTATTCGCTTTGAACTAATTCACGGTGCCATTTTGCAGCTGCTCCTTTAATTTCTGGCTTGGCAGCGTACCTTCGAGCTCTTGACTCCAAGTGGAAGGTCGAGCTCAGAGATCCACGAAATCTCCTCAAATTGATTCGATATCTGTCCCGGAAACTCCACGTCACGCGCGAAGAGGATGAGTATGGAGGGCACGGATCGCCACCAGGAAACGACGACAATCGAGAAGATGAAGCGATCCAGCCTCACATTATCTGGAACGGCCAAGTCAAGAATGAAAACTGTCTCGTGGGTTATGTGAGCGAAGACAGCAAAGCCGTATGCGACATGTATGTGAAAGAAATACCTGGAAGCCTTGAAAGTTGGAATCCGCCGGAGGTGCCGGATCCGTGTGATTTGTCGACGGGGTCCAAGAGAGACTTGATCGGCCGCGCTAGTTGCGAGGTCAACGGTGCCAGAGCGAACAAAGATGCCAGAGGATTTCAATGGTATGTCTCTAGACCAGCGTTTGCACTGCGCAGCAAGGTTCTGACTATTTATATAGGAAGCAGGGAAATCCGTCACCGACTTGTACCAGCAGCTGCGGAACTCTTTGCACAGGCTACTACTGCTCGCCACATCCCACAGGCCAGCCTCCAGACTACTATGACCACAGTACCACTATCAAAGGCGATGGCGGTCTCACAGGCTTGCCGCCTCTTACGCACATTCCCACTCCCGTGACGAACTGCGCTGGCCAGATCAAGCCCACGACAATATGCAACGGTTCTGGTGGAAGGATGGCTTGCGTCACGAGCAGCTACTGCTCCAGCGATTCACCACCAACTCCGACGGCAACGGACATGCTTTGTCAGATCAATCGCGGATGCAGAGACTATCCTTGCCCGGAGGGCGAATATGGTTGGTGCAGCGGAGGCCATTGCAAATGCAGAGATCGGAAGCCACCCGAAACGCAAGAATGCTTCACCAGTCAAAACTGCCAAAGTTTTTCTTGTACAGGGGGGAGGGTTCCATTCTGTGATAAAGGGTACTGTGGCTGCAAGAACACGGAGTGCTCCAGCATTGGCGACTGCTCAGCTCTTTCCTGCAGCTGGGATGAGAAGGCTACATGTAGCAGCAAAGGTTGCACATGCGAAGCCGTTTCGCTTTCTATGCGAAGAACGATACACTGCGACAGGTTTGGTCAGGGGTGCTACAGTGAGGCGAGCCTGACAGACGGAACGTCGAAGTGGACAATCAGCAACGCTCGTGACGGTTGTCGCAAGCCGAAGCCATTCGTCGATCTCTGCGTCGACGAGGGAAGAGACCGCATCAAGTTTCGGTTGCCAGATGACATCCCGCGATGCTTGATTGGCGGAGAAGTTGAGGCTGATGGCGATTGTCCCAACGAAAAGAATCACAAGTGCGCGAGCGCGGACTGGTATCAGGTCAAGTGTACGTGGTAACGTAGTAAACGGAAGAAAGAGCTTTGGAATAAAAAAAGGTTACAAGGGTAAGAAAGATAGGAAGAGGAGAAAAAATAGGTAGCATTGGAAAGATAAAACGAAAAGGAAAGATAACTAGTATACCTAACTTTATTTTGGTTTCCCTGGATGGAGGCACGCTCTTGGCTGACTCAGCCCCCTCTTGCTGACTCAGCCATGGGATGCTCCCACACACTCTAGGTAAATAGATTCTCTTCTAGAATCATCACATCCACATGCTTCTTGGTTCATCCATGTATCGTCCTTTGATCGTATTTATTTCTTTTACATTGTTGAAATCTTTGTGAATCTTTCTTTGCAATGAGGGTATTACTTCATACGCCTTCCGCCTCGGTACTACCCATCTCCCTGCTTTAGACCTCGAGTCTTAAGAACGTCTGGTTAGACAGGATGCTCAATATCCTTGCCATCTTGAAGAGCTTGATTTTCGGCTACAGCTCCATGAAGACGAGGCGGCACGGGCGGTCGTGCATTAAGCGCTCTGGTTCTTTCTCTACGAGCCTTGGCAATAGCGGCAAATGCAGCCCTGTTTGTGGCCAACGGCGCCTCTTTTTCTTTTGCGAGCAACCGCGCCTTTGTACCCCGGTGTTTCGGGAAGAGAGGGTATGAGAGCTCTTCCGGTGGCGTTTTTTCCCTTTCTCGCCATGCTCTCTGCGATGAGGACTCGCCCGTGACCAGCCACCAGCCCGGAAACGGCCGCACTCTGGAGCCACATTTGTCTAGCCATTTGGTGCCCCACGAGCCTCCAACGAGGGTCGCAGCCACGCGCTGGCAGTCGTCGAGGATGAAGTTGATATCCGTACTCATGACCGCAGGTGGTATACGGGACTGGTCAATAACTGGAAACTCAACGTCGCCCAGCTTGAGCCACAGGCGCCGGGTGGACTCACTATCGCTCCACGCCTCTAGTCGTGCGCCGTCGCTGCGCCACCAGCAAAACGCCGTCAACCATCCAGACATTTTTTCAAAGTCGCCAGAAGCCTGGGCAGCCGTCGAGTGGCATGCACGTTGCCAAAAGTGCTCAACGTCGGCGGCCATGGGCCTGTCGAAGCTAGCGACCATGAAGTCGGCCACGACTGCGAGAGCCTGCGACCATTCTTTGGCGGACGAGTCTTGGGGCTGACTCGTGACGGCCCTCGCATCATCCTTGTTGGTACACGATGCCATGTCAAAGTCTGCCAGGCGGGAGATGCGGCTAGACAGATCCACCCAATCTTTGCGCTCACCATGGAGAGTGACTGAGGGAAACCCGCAGCCGAGTTGCACATTGTATCCAAAGTACTCATGGACAGTGCCGAGGAATACCGCGGCCGCGGCCACCTCATCGTCGGGCTGCGTCGTGCTGAACACCGGCAGCAGCCAGTCGACCAGTGTCGGGTCCACCAGTTGCTCGCGGACTAGTCCAACAAACTGCCTCACTAGGACCGGCAGGTTCATGTCTGACATGCGGCCGAGCGGGTGGTTAATCTCGAGCTGGCGGCGGTCGCTGTGTGCGACAAAACGATCCCGAAGAGCCTCGGCGCGGTTTTCGTCGCCGCCGCGGACGTAAAAGCCGAACTGGGTCAGCACGGCGAGCCACACGTCGTCCGGCCGGAGCTCCAGATGCAGGTCTTGCTGCCAAGCGTGGAGCACCGTGCAGACGAATCCGTTTTTAAGAGAGGAAAGCGTGTCCGCGCCCACGTCGGAGACGGAGCTGGACAGCACGCGGCGGCCGCGGTCGCAGGGCAGAAGCAGATCGTCGGTGCTAGCAGCTGATTTTTCTCGACTGCGACCGACGACAGGCGACGCCTCGAATTGTAGCGTCACAGGCATTGCAGCTCAAGTGTTTTATTTTTTGGCTGAAGCTGGCTCTGGTTGTTGCGTCAGCGGCTAGATACGATGACAAGTAAACCAGTTGTGGAACCTACTGTAGAAGTGTGCTTGCATGGAGCGATTTAGACGAGAGTGATGATGGCGTAATTCCTGTACCGCAAGACTGTGACAGCTAACTATTTTTTTAAGCTCCGCAGAGTCTCAGCAGAGTCTGAGTAATGAAAGCACGGGTTCCATCCAACAATAAGCCGTCCCGCATGATGTAAGTCGGAGGGGCCAGCGCCGAAACTCGCCGACAGCTACAGTAAACAAGTATCTGCGCTAATAAAATTAGACAAGTCACTAGAGTACAGGCCTCTTTATTGAGCGGGACCGTCAACCGTCTTATATTGCTAAAAAGTAATAGTAGTGATTACTACAGAGCATCATTTCGTTCAATACCCTGCAAGCCATATCCAGTCTTTATCCACAGTTGCTTTGCAGTATCAGCACACCATGTCAATAAAAAGTCCACACAGGCTGGATATCTCGTCTCAAGGACTGTGGACAAGCTTAATGACCAGACCTTGGTTGGTGTAACCGCCGTCCAAAAATTCCTTGCTCTGGTACAGCGGATCGGTGGTGTTGACAAGGACGCCCATCTGGCCCCCGGCCGTGCCGCACTTGACCAGGGCCTTTTCTTTGTCCGCGTCGGCTGCCTTGGCACCGGGGTCGATGGTGTTGGCCATGTCGTTGAAGGTGACAGCCGCCGAGTCGTCGCCGACGAGCTTGGCGAGCGCCCAGGTCTTGCCCTTGGTCGTGACCTGCCACTCGGCGCAGTTGTCGGCGTCGGCCTCGTTCATCTTCCAGAACGGGGACCGTCCGGCTTTGAGGGCTTGCGCCTGGTAGCTGCGGAGATAGCGGGCGATGAAGTCAACCTCCTTCATGTTGAGGTTCTGCGGCGTGGCGCCGTTGTCATTGTAGCAGATGCGCTGGCTGGGCTCGGGGCTGAGACAAATGGCGGCCGAGGAGCCTGCAAAGGCAAGGCTGCAGAGGATCTGGGAGAAGCGCATGGTGTCTGTACTGAAGAGGAAATTCGTGTATTTATTGCATTGTCGGACTCGAGGAGCGGCGGTATTCAGAGAACACAGTACTGGACTATAAGATTATAATAAGTGACGAAAGTTCTCCCAACTTTCTCTATAGACGTCGCAGTATTCGAATTCGCATATCCCGTGGCTCTTTTCCTGGGGGTTCACTATGGGCACTGTAAGTCGCCGCAGCCAGGAACGGCCCGTTGACAGGAGCGATTCCCGAGGAACCTTGATCAAATCCAGTCATAGTGCCCACGAAGCTTTGCATGATCAGCGCGTCGGCGAGTATTGCTCGGCGCGGGGCCGCCGGTGATAGCAGCGAGTCATTATATCCTGAGTTTGTGGATCATTGCTTGATTGAACCCTATATGTGCCCCCTCGCCGACAATTCACTCCAGTACATGGCGTCGGCGTCGGCCAGCCTTATGGGGCTAAGGTGATGCCTGTGCCAGCTAGCCCTTGAAAATAGGCAGTTCACTTCGTGGATGCTCGCCGTGGCTTCAGGTTTCAGGCCTCCGCTCGGTGAGATACATGTATGAGTCCGACCTGGGAGAATAGTCATTGACATCACCCGCGTCTGCTATTCGAGGCTTTGACTAACTGAAGTCCGGTCAGCGGGTGCACCAGCATCTGCTCGGCTGATTATTACTTCCAGTATCAGTGCCCACATTGTGAATATTGGCTCCGTATCTCATTCAATCTCACTTGGCACTCTTGGCATTTTCGGTCCTGTTCCTGTCCATTTCCTTCTTCTGTGAATATGAATGCGGTCCATTTCGGCTGCTCATGGCGCGTCATTACATGTACGACTCTTTGTCCGTCCGGGGGTAGTTTGCGTTGGACATTGACGATGGGATGATTGCGCTGAAGCCCTAGGGCCAGCTGGTATAGCTAGCACCTGCAGTGGGTGTAGGCGCCCGCCTCCAAACAGCCTTCACAGAGCTCGAAACTCGGCGTGAATGGGCGAGCACGATACGTGCTCTGTCGACGATATACTACCGCTGGACAACGTCCGAGGTACTTAGAGGAACAGGTCGTAGCTAATTCACGCAAATTTACAGAATCTATTAGTGTATATTGCATTCAACGGGCTACAGATTACTTCTTTGTTTCCACTTACTGGGAAGGGACAGGACAGGACCTCCACCATTCCATTCCTTGGCATTCTGCTTCGCTGCAAGCCGTTCAGAATCTCCTTTTCAATGATTGTGGGCATTCGAAGAAACATTGAAGGGGGTAGAGAAGGTGAATCTACGCACCAAAGCTTCAATACCATCATGTCAGCCACTGCAAGATCGAGGATGCACCAACCTAAATTTTAACCTTGACAAGGCCCGAGGGTATGCACCGGACATTAAAGAGAGCAGGGAAACACGCTCATGGCATTGTATCGCTGCGCGAGTAGGCAAGATACGCATAATAACTAATCTGATTGAATAAGTGGTGGGTCGTCACAGCCTTGTTTCCGTCTCCCCGCCACGATGCAGGGCCATTCCGCCAATCTTGGTTATTCCATCCATGAACAACCCGGTGCGAGGACCGACGAGACCCATCAAACGAGCCCTGAACGTCGACTTGCATACCAAATAACTAGAACGGTTGAGCTGCAGTCATGTCTTGAAGTCTTAGTTGTGGTTCGTCCTTTTGTCGAGGCTGATTCCCAGTCTCACCTTCTTCTTGTCCCAAGATCCAACTTGCTGGTCGGACAAGAGGGAGTTGAACAGTCATGAACTCTGTTTTGAGAACGGCCTGCGACAACTGCCACCGACGCAAGACACGATGCATTCCTGGAGCGGAGCGAGGTTGCCAGCATTGCCGCCAGACAGGCCAGGAGTGTGCTTTTTCGCCGAGAAACAACATGGGCAGGCCGCGGCGCAAACAGCCAGCGGAGGTGTTACAAACGCATCTCAACGCAGAGTCGCCCTGGGAATTCCATCTACTCCAAGACTGTGCCGGGATTCCGCCGTCACCATTGTTTCCAAACTGGTATGATGACGTTTACAAGACGTTGGATGCTTACCAGCGCTGATGTACTACTGGCAAGGGACGATGCTTTCAGGTTTCAGCAGCAACACTGGGGCATGGTGGCCGATACTGATGCCTCGTCAACTCTTTCGTCGTCAACGCTGTCACCCACCACTCCAACGGATCTGTGTAACCCGTTCATTTCAAATTCCGGAGATCTAGACGCCATGCATGAGCCATCAGCACAACCTGACCCCAGTCTGCTGTGCAGTAAACAGGCGTCAACAGCGGGATGTGTTGGTCGCGAGTCGTCAAACGACCTTGGCAGTATCGTGTCCCAATATGCACAGCTCTCTCAATTTTTGTTTCAACTCAACATGCACGCGCCTCACGATATGCTTGCACAGGGAGAGCGGGGTGCCTTTCATTCGTTGAGCTCTCTGGTGTCGTCGCTCTGCGAGACGTTGCGCATTTTTGAAGAGAGACCGCTGTGTCACGCCGGAGAAAAAACCGCATCGTCAAGCTTCCTACTGGCGGCTTTGGTGGTTGGAAAGGCCGTCGGTTTATACCACGAGATGGCCAGGAGCCTTTGCCATCCCGCCTCTGCCCAGCCCATTGGCATGCACAGGAGGCTGCGCTTACTTGCCGATATCCACACCATGGAGCTTCAGCTGGAATACATGCGACAGATGTTCCGAGCTTCAAATCACCCTCTCAGCGTCGAGACTGTAAAGCATGTCGATGAGACCATTGCCATTTTGCAGAAATACTCTGCGCTCTGGCGCTGATGGGACGGGTACAACCAGGGGGGAAAGGCAGGAAAAGTCTTGTCTACATACACTTTCAACTTCTTGCATATTATACTTGCTTGAGCGAAATACAAATAAAATAAGCCGGCGCCTACCATGGGCATCCCCGCATGCGGTCGCCGGTAGAAGCTCAAGGCATCGGCGAGTTTCTGTTTGCAGTGGACCAAGTGTACATTAATTGAAAGCTCCCGATACCAGAAATGCCGCTCGGCGACTTTCTCCAGCAGTGGAGGTTCCGTATAAAATATGTTTTAGTACCTAGAAGTACTGTGCGAGTTGTTGTTGCATCTTCAATCACACCATGTGCGCAACGTGCGACAACTAACACAGCGCCAATCGACACCAATAAATACGTACACACGCGCCCGCTTCCTTTGTACGCACCTTCTTGTAGGTCAAACAACTTTATACACTATTCTCTTTCTCAATATGTTTCCCAATGCTTTCCTCGCTTTTGCGGCCCTCGCGCCCGCCGCCCGGTCGTTTGACGCGCACTGCAACCTGTACGCCCCCAATGGCGAGTGGATGGTATGCCAGACGCAGGTGCCGTACACGCCGCCGGGGGGGCTCTTTGTCAAGATGAACCCGTGGAACAAGACGGCATTCACGTATGAGTTTTGGTTCTCGCATCAGTACAAGGAGCTGGACAAGACGGTGAATGCAACTGCTCGCATGGAGGTGGGGATGCCGGAGTGGGATGTGTCGGATTGTAGACAGATGACGGTTGTTTCAAAGGAATACATCTAACCGATTAGGAGGAGACGAATGAAAATTTGATTGATTGATTGATTATTATTAAAATGTCTTGTATATTTCTACAAGCATAAGTCACGAGAACACGGAGCCCAGAGTGAGCCCAGTTGCTGGCCAAAGGTCTACATCTTCCGCTAGGCTGATCAAATAAACCACCAGTGTATATTTTAAGCAGAAGTTGACAAGTTACTAGCCAAATACGTAGAGAGATGTATTCTTTTCGTTTAGTTTTTTATCTAGAAAAGTAGTTGGTTTTACCACTGCGTTATACGCAAAGCTTCTCAGCAGTTGTATTGTTGGCTAGCTACGGCGGTATTTGTACTATGGAAATTGACGCAAAGCGGCAAGCGTTAAACTCCGAGGGGGCGAATGCAGAGGACTGCCTGGTCAATCTGTTCAGATGGGTTAATATTAGAGAACAGGCAGCGAGATGTTCTGGGTACCTACAATGGGAAGAACGCAGCACCTGGCCTGTTGGCCATTCTTGGCGCAGATTTCCTTGAAGTTCTTGGCATCGCGGGGAGTTTCAGGGGCTTTTGAGGCGAAAGACCCAGGTCAGCTCTCGAACTGTTGCGCTTCGGAAAGATGCGGATGGGAGGACTCACGGGTATCTCCGTCGAGACAGGCGAGGCCGAGGATGTCGGTGGCGCAACAGATGGGGTTGGAGTAGAGGAAACCTCGGCAGACGCCGCCTCCTCCTCCGCCGCCGCCGCCGCCGCCGCTGGTCTGGGGAGAAACCTCAGTGGGTGCGGCGAGGACGCTGGCGACAAGGGTAGCAATGAGAAGGACTTGCATCTTGGCTGATGGGAGTATCTTGGGATGGTGAGAAGGCGAAATGTAAACGGAGCGAGATGGTGTTTGAAGTCAGGCCTGTGAGTATCAAGGAGAGGATCGTTGTCCTCTTTATACCACACGTCTACCATGCTCAGACTGGCCACCATGGGCCGTTACCAAGGTCAGCTCAGAAACAGCTGATTATGATGCCTCCATGACGCCAAAAAGCTGAAAAATCACGACGAGACTAGTCGATGCATTGGCAGTGGCTGCAGCGTTCTATCGATGCCGGTCCCGTCTCACTGCGTGGCACGGCGGATGTCCGTCGTCGGCATGCCGTTGGTCAGGACCGGGGGTTCCCAATGCCGTGGGCGAGAAAGGAGGCTCATGATAAGGGGACGAATGACGACAGCTTCGCATGCGGGCTCTGGCCACTGTCGGACAAGTATGCCACCATGAGACGACTTTTGCGCCGGTCGTGCGACCTCGAAACGAAGCGGCTGATGCCAGAATCATACGTGTCGGGGGCGCAGAGTGCAAGAGCAGGACAAGAACAGCCCAGGATTATTGTCTGGTGATGGATGCCAAGCAAAGCTTGGCCGGGCGACTTTGCTCCGCGCGGCGCGGCTTCCGTGACAAGGCCTCTCGTCGTGGTAACTAGACAGGACACTGCGGAAGCTGACTGCATGGCGGCGACGGGTCTGACCTCATGGCGCCTCTGGAGAGGAAATGTATGGCGTGGTAGTGGCAAATCAATAGTTTTGTCCTGCTTCCGACGCGGTTTTCAATATTCGAGGATTTTGGAGTATTTGCACAAACCTCTGGTGAGCGGACTTGGAATGTCACTCTGGTCGGGTCCCGTTGTACCCGGGAGAGCTTCACGTCTCGATCGGCCCATACTGGTGTTACACACACCGGAGCAACTTGCCAAGCTCTAGAAGCTCATCACGAGTTGTCCTCTTCTTCTTTTCCTTCTTTTCTCTTTCCATTCCCCTTTGTTCTCTGTGTGCGGGGTTGGCTTATCGCATGGGGCTGAACAATCAAGATGAGCGGAAAAAGGCCAGCAAATCACATTGCATCGGACAGTTTGCCCTGACAAGACCGCATCCCACGCCAATGGAGAAAACTATGCAGAAAGCGCACCGCATGTATGTGATGAAGCCCGTTCGACGCAGGAGACCAGTCAGTTGTCAGTCTTCGCCGCCCCCCCCCCCCGGCATCGTGAGTTTTTGGCGGCGGCCGGGCTGAGCTGCGGGATGTGGCGGTTTGCCGTCATGATAGTCATCTCCAGGTCCATTGGAGGCGGCACGTCGCCCTCGGATATGCACATCATCTGAGACAGCCTGTTCCAGCACAGCTTTGCAGGGGGGCGGCATGGACGAAGGCGGCTGACGATGGCTGGATGATTACGGCAGGGCTGAATCTTGGCGCTAAGAATAGGATATCGAGAGGCGTGCCGCCGATGTTGAGCAGTCAAAGTGGAAGGACGTTTCTTTGAAGAAGAAGAAGAAGTCGACGGGGAGAAATCCAGCTGAGTCATCAGCGGAATGGAAACCTCAGTGACGTATTCTGGTCCGCACAGGCAACTCCGCCTTGGTGATTGCGCAGCTGCCAGACTGGGCAACAGGCAGTGCGGGATCCAGGAAATCGATAAGAGTGATGGAAATAAAAGCGCTGAGCACGACACACAACGCGCCGGCATAATGCAAGGCGCCCATCATAACGCGCATCTTATAGCCAGGCACCCGTGCCACGTCCTGCTCACGTTCCCGTCTTATGCGGCGCCCGCGCCGGGGCCGATGATGAGGCGAGCACTCCGGCTCCGTGTAAGCCCGCCAGATCTCCCTGTCCGGGTGGCTGCACCCGCGAACCCGATCCCATTGTTGTCCCCCTCGCGATTTACATGTGCTTTTCTTGTTTGCACCACGCTTGATTGGACCCCTCAAACTTGGGGGTCCTAATAAATGGGAAAGAAAACAAAATTACCCCGCTAGGTAAACTAGGTAGTGGACAGCCGAGTTGCAAGGCCTCCGTGCCCGCTGCTGCATTTGGCCCGATTGCCCGTTGGCCCCGTTGCGGCGTGCCTCGGGACGTTTTTTTTCGTCCATGCGCGTTACCAAAGCCGGCGCGTGCCGGTAAAAGAGAGTCTACCCCTCCTTCTAACCACCATTCAGCTTCATCTAGTCGTTCTTTTTTATTTGTTTCAACTCCCTTGCCACTTTTTTCATCACCAAAGGGCAAACGTTTCTTTTTTATCTTCCTCCTGCTGAATCCCACGCGCCAAAACTCCACCACTTCGCCCAACATGGCCGGTAAACTGGCGCCGCTCGCGCTCCTCGCCCTCGCCCTCGCCGTGCCCTACTTCATCGGCTACCTCTCCTTCGCCAACGGGCTGATGCCGCTCGTCGACGAGATCTGGGCGGCCGGCGCCTTCCCCGACGGCACGCCGCTGCGCACGCGCTGGCTCGGCCTGCCCAAGCTCGACGAGCTGCTCTCCAAGCTCGTCGTCTTCTTCTGGCCCGTCGCCGCCTTCCAGCACCCGGGCCTCTTCCTGCACTCGCTCGCCTTTTCCGGCACCTTTGCCGCCGGCTGGACCCTCGTCACCCTCGAGACCTGGCGCGACGGCAACGCCTGGACTCTATCCGGCTTGTACGTGCACAACTTGACCTGCCCCTTGACCAATCAACACTAACGCCAAACTACAGCTCCGTTCACCTTGGTCTCGCCGCGCAGGTCCTCACGTTTGCCTTTGCCACGCCCGTGTACGGCTTCCTGCATCTCGTCACGGGCCGGACTGCGTCGGCGCCGACACGCGCGCACATGCACATTCAGTACGCGGTGCTCGCCTCGCTGCCGCTCGTTTTCTTCGTCGGCAACGCCGTGCCGAGCGTCGCCATGGTCCTTCCCTTTTCCAGCCGCAACACCGTTGCCGTGAAGCAGCTGCTGACGGCCGTGTGGCAGCCGTGGCCGGCGTACACGGCCTTTGGGCTGACGGCCGCTAACCTGCTCTTCGGCGGACTCATCACGGCGGGCGACAAGGCGACGCCGCAGGGCCGCAAAAAGGCCGCCGGCGCGCTGCGGCTCATCTACGCCATCGCGTTTGGCAACGCCGCCGTGTCGCACCTCGCCGCCGCCACCGTGACCATTGGCACCACCCTCGCGCCGGGCATCTTCCATCCAGACTACGCTGTCGCGCTGCACCCGCGCAAGGTGCTGGCGGCGGTGCTGCCGTGGGCCGCCAATCCGGTCGCCCAGATTGAGACGCTCGGCGACGGCGTCAACGTCTTTTTGCGCTGGGATTACTTGCTCGGCACCACGTCGCTGCTGCTCTGGGCGAGCGTGCTGTATGCCCGCGCGCACAGGCACTACGAGGGCAAATCTGTCGACGCGCTGTCGTTCCTGGTCAAGATTGCCACGCTCTACGCCGTGATTGGGCCTGCCGCCACGGCCGTCGAGCTCATGTGGGAGCGCGAGGAGTATGTGCTGCAGAGCGAGGACAAGGCGCTCACGACCAAGAAGAGGAACTAAGTTGGCGGTTGCAATGATGCGTGACGGGATGGAAGTGGCTCTTCGAGGAGCCATGTACTGGCAAAATGTAATATAGAAGATGTGAATGTGACTACGGGTCTTGATGGATATGTGCCGTGTATAATGTGGCAGAATGGAACATGGAACATGCTACTGGGGTTTGATATATGCCGTGTATAATGTGGCAGAACGAAACATGGAACATGCTACTGGGTCTTGATATGTGCCGTGTACAATGTATGCCTGCTATTCATCGAATAACCCAAAATAAATCATGGTCCGTATTTACCCACGCACCGTGGTCCGTGGCCCAAGGAACCGCGCCGGAAACCCCTGCCAGGGTATCAAAACGTGCCATCAGCAAACTATATATGTCTCCCCATTGTAGCATTTATAGACGTGGCTCGTCGTGGTCAATCTTGGACACCAAGCCGGGAATGTCGTCAACCTGCGCCTTGCCGACTAGAATGTCATTGACGGCGGTAAAAAGCGGGTAGTCGCGGAGCCTATCGCGCGTGGACAGGAAGCTGTGCACCTCGAACGAAGTAAGCGTGCCCTGGAGCTTCTGCCCATTGAGCTCCTGCTTTTCGACCTCGCTGACCGAGAGGCCCTTTTCAATGGCCATTCTGGCGCAGCGAAAGTTGCGACCGCCAGAGGACGAGGTGATGAGGTCGGCGACACCGGCAGACGTCTCGGTAAAGGTACTGGTCTGGACCGTCTCGCCAAAGAACTCCTTGCCGAAGCGCACCATCTCCATCAAGCCGATGCGCATGACGGCTGCCTTGGCATTGTCGCCCCAGCCACGTCCCTCGACGAAGCCGGCGGCGAGGGCCACGACATTCTTGAGCGCGCCGCCGAGCGACACGCCGGCCACGTCCGAGACCATCTGGACGTGAAAGTACGGGCGGTGGAAGAGCTTGCGCAAGCATTCGTGGTCGAGGGGCGGGTACTCGGCGGGGACGGGGGTGAGCTTGGACTTGGACTTGCGGCCGCGGGCGTCCTTGTGGGGGACCTGGGCGAGATCGACGGTGCCGACGCTGGGGCTGGCGGAGCGCGGCGTCGGGGCGCGCGAGTTGTCCATGGACGGGGGGTCATAGGCAATCGTCGTCTCGGACCATTTTTCGGCGGCAATCTCGTTGGCAATGTTGGCGCCGCTCAGGGCGCCGACGTAGATGTCGAGGTCCTCGCCGATCCACTCGCTAAAGAGGCTGACGCCGTCGGCCGAGACGTTGACGCCCTTGATGCAGCTGACGCCGCGGGCAAAGGGCACGATCTGGCCCTTGAGCTGGTTGCAGACATTGTGGATGAACTGGTGGGGGAGGTTGAAGATGAGAATGGTCGAGTCCCGGACGGCGTCGAGCAGCGAGGGGTTGGCGACGAGGTTGTCGGGGAGCGTGATGCCGGGCAGGTACTTTACGTTTTCGTGGTACTGGTTGATGATGCTGGTGAGCTTCTGCGGCTCGGAGCCGGCGGCGGCGGCGTGCTTGGAGTCGGACGGGATCACAACGTCCTCCTCAAACACCCACATCTGCACCTCGGGCTCAAAGAGGTCCTTGTAGAGCTTGGCATTTTCGGCGACGATTTTGGAAATGGTCGAGCCCCTGGGCAGTCAGCGCGAGGTGCATAAATCCAGGAGAAACGACGAACCAGTTGCCCGACCCAACGACGGTCACCTTGTGCTTTTTGCCGTGGCCTCCCAGCAGCGCCATGCTCGTCATTGTGCGAATCGGTGAGGAAGAGGGGTATCGAAAAGTGTTGAGGCGGACGGTGAGGCGGCGATGCAGTCTGGGCAGCGGGCACAGAGCTGCAAACGATAGCATGCAGGGGAAAAGAGGATGAGGGAAGGGTAGTCGAGGCAATTGGCAAGTGGACGGGGGGCGGCGATGAATAAATACCGGTGTTGGGGTTGTCGAAGGGTGGAAGCTGAAGCTTGAAAAGGCCGACGGTGTCCTCGTGCTGTCTGTCACTTTTGATGGGATGCGGCGATAAGGACAAGATAAGGCTAGCTGGGTGTGGCTTGTGAAGAGTGCCGAGGAGGTGGGAGGTGACGGAGGTGGAGGAGGCGAAGGAGGCTTGCAAGAAAAAATTAATGTACCATTGGCTATCTACTGAATTTGTACTTTATCTCTGCATTTTTCTTTTTGAAAAAGAATGGCCATGTTGTGAGCTGTAGAGCAGGTACAAGCGTGCTCCTTCGCCGCTTGGTGGTTGCTTCAGCGCTAACATTGCCGCTGAACCACTGTAGCCCGGTCAACTCCCCTGCAACCCCCTGCAGCATCCCGGATAGATCCCATCCCTGTCTGTGAGATGAGACGGAAATTTTGTAAAAATTCTTCATTATTCATCATAATAATAAATAGAACGGGTGCAAAATCTACGTTTCGTACTATCTTTACGATGAACGTTATTGTTCCACTCGGCTGTCTTTGACAAGTACTATTCTTCCTTGCCCATTTCATCTCAACACATGCGAATGTCGGCATCGAATTGATCAAAGAGAAGCCGCGGTATGGTTTCCTACAGAGATTGTCAACTAATAATATGGCATTCGGCGTGCGGTGAGACCGAACCTCAGCGCCACACCGAGATGCGAGGAACTTGGCAGCTGTCACATGCTGCTTTGGCAAAGGCAGGCCTGCAGAGTCATGCACAAGCAGCGCTATATTTACCTGCCAATCGGCTATTTATGGGCGGCCCAATAATTCGCCAGTTAGGAATACTAACCTCTTCCTAATTCTTACGATATTCACTATGAATTAACTTCTTTCTCTTTCTAATTTTCTTCATCTTTATTATCCCTCTTATCTTGCTTATACTTATCGCAGTAGAGTTACTCCTAGATATAAGTGTGTTGTTAATCGTCACTGTCTGTGTCGAATTCGACCGACGCTCCTCGTATTATAGCTCTTGGACCAACGTATAAACGGAACAAGACGATGTCACGAAATCCATATCTGCTTCCACAGAAGTAAAAGTCTGATTAAATAGTGCATCGCAACTCCTGTACCTGCACCTCAGCTAAAACGTCGGCGCATCTGCCTCTATCGGCTGCAAATCGCCCGCCCCCTTAAACGTGCGCAAAATCGTCGCCTGCTCCGAGAGCATGAACCGGTCCGTCTGCGTGCCAATCTTGGCGAGCTGGCGCCAGCGCTCCGCGTCCGCCGGGTTGCGCTTGTCGCCGTGCGCCGCCGCCGCATTCTCCCAGTGGCCCTGCGAGAAGCCGAGCAGCGTGGTGATTTTCTGCCGCCCCAGGTCGTACACCAGCGAGCAGATGGTGCCCGTCTCCTCGAGCCAGTTGCACTGCCAGAGCTCGCCCGGCCGGATGCACTGGTACGTGGCCGTCTGGTAGTTGACGCGCCCGGCCATGGGCCCCCCGTGGATGGCGTACACGATGCGCGTGTCCGAGAAGAACCACATCTCGTACCGCCACTTCTCCGGCTGCCCGTTGGAGTCCTGCGCGTCGTAGTCGTAGATGAGGTGCAGGTCGCGAATGTCCCGGTCAAACGTGGGATCAAGAGGCGTGTTGGAGTGGAAGTGCGGAAGGGCGGTTTTCGTAGCCATGATGGAGGATAGCAAAGTAATGTTGGGGGAAGGAAGATGTTTGAGTGATGTGAACTATATACAACTTGTTGTTTTAGAGTGTTTGGGGGTATTTATAGATTAAAACATAGTCGAGATGTGAAGACTTCGGCGATCCCGCCAGTAGCAAAGGTCCGCGGACCCTCAAGTGCCGGTGTTAGTGCCGACACCTTTTAGGTTTCAAAGGAAGCTCGCCGCTAGCAAAGTACAGTTCAATCTGAAGTTAATACCACCAAGGGCGCAGTTGACCGAGACCAAAGCCGCGGACTGCATCTATGACAATGACATCAATAAGCGCTGCCAAATGACTAATACGTTGGTAACGGTAACCGTCAAAGCCAACGGCAAGCTAGTGGTGCGATCTACAGTTTAATTGCTTTTTGCTCCGCGGACAAGCCCATCACTTTGTTTAACAATACTGATTGCTGCCAAGGACAACTTTAGTCGGTGTATACTGTTACATGGTCAACTTCTCCTGTGTCTAGTCGTGCAACAACTACATTGAAAACCGAGACCTACAACTCCAGCACCACAAAACCAACAGCCTTCCAAAGACCAAGAATCGCACTTCTTTTCGCCGATTTGGACGCAGAAACCTCTGATTCCTGCATTCTTTAGCGTCTTGTGTTATTACTTCAAACTGCTCGATATATAATGTGAGGCGACACGCCACGGGCTATAGTACTGAATTGCGCGCTAACTAGCAAAGCGAGGTCATTTCTCTTACAATTCCTTACTTCAACTCCCGGTACAAGAGACAAATAGTGGATTGAAGTCGAACGCTATCAAATGGTTTTAATATAAAGGCGTGCTGTAAGCGTCAAAATCGTACATCCACGTATCGATCGAGGCTTGATCGTAGACACAGTCCGGGGTGGTGGCATTGCCAGACCACAAGGGACGCAAAGGCCAGCGGCAGATGGAGTTGATAGTGCCCTTCGTATCCAGCGTCTCTGGCGCCGCCTTGCTCTCGACCCATTCAATCACAGTCTCGAGCGTGGTTTGAGGCCACTGGCCGTTGGGCTGCAGCGGGTTTGTGCCGCAATGGGCACCGCCCGGGACGAGGAACAGGCGGTAAAAATCGTCCATGGCGGCGACACTCGCATTGTACGTCATGTTTGCGTACATGACGGAGCGCACCGACTCGTAATAGTGCACAGATGAGCCCGCGGGGATGGAGTCGTCCTGCTCGCCGTGGACGAGGATGACCTTGGCGCCAGCGGAGCGCAGGCCGCGCAGGTCTGGCTGCGTGGTCTGCAATGAGTCTCCGTAGCGCGTCTGGCCCTCAATCATCAGGTCGCGCAGCGTATCGTACGTGTAGTTTGATAAACTCGTCAGGCTGCTCGTGTTCCGCAGCTCCAAGTAGCGGGCCACCCACTCGCCACCCAGACCATTAATGTACAGCTTCCAGGAACCAGTGGCATTGTCAAACGTCGTAGCCGCGTCAGAAAAGGACGCGCCGGGCTGGTAGCTCAGATAGACAAACTTGCCGTCCGAGTCGTACAGACCCTCGAGGATGGTCGCAGCCACCTCGGCACCCTTGGCTGTGATGGTGCCGTTCTGCGCCGGGCTCGATGCACCAATGGAGATGCCGCCCATGACCCGTGGCGTTGTCGCCGCACACGAATACGCCTTGCCCACGGTACTCGAGACGTTGAAGTTGAGCTTGCAGAGGTCAGACCGCGCGACGACGCCATCCGTCTGGCCATCGAGGCCGTCGCACGCGGCAATGGTCAAGTTGACAATGGCGGCGAGCTCGCAGGTTGGCGGGTAGTAGCCGAGTGTCTGCTCGATGACGTTGCTCGTCAGATGGTTCACCTGCTGCTGGCCGTAGCGAATGGCAGGCGCACCAATGACGGCGCCGTCAAACTGGTCCGCAAAACGCTGCAACTGACTCCAGCCCTCGCGTCCGCCCTCGGAGCAGCCCATGTAGTACGAGTAGACGGTCTTGTTCGCAGAGACATTGTACAGGTTCGCCGCCAGCTGCTTGCCGATGAGGGCCAGCTCATGATGCGCCTGGTAGCCAAACATGTACACCGACTGCCAGTTGATGGTGCCGTTGGCCAGCAGGAACACGCTATTCCACTGCGTTTGTACGAGCCGAATCCTCCGTCGGTGATGCCAGAGACGGCGCCGTTCATGATGCCAACGGGGACCCGTCTCGGGCCAGAGTTGACGGCAAAACCGCCGCCGCCTGTGGAGAGATAGCGATTTCGGAATGCGCACGGGGCGGGAACCCAGTAGCTGACGTGGACGACGTCGTCGGCGATGCCATTGTGCGAGTAGGCAAAGGTGACGTTGCAGTAGTTGATGGTGGCGGCCCTGTTCCAGTCCGACTCTGCAATGGAGGCGTTGTAGGTGATGGCGGTAGAGACCGAGGATGAATTGATTGTGATGCCGGGGAAAGAGTTGTCGGCGGGAAGGGCAGCCTGGACATATTTCACGTTGCATATGTCTTGGAGGGTGGCTGCCTGGGTTGCAGTCGCGGTTGCAATTACCAGGGCGAGAAAGGTGTTGCACCGCATCACGAGAGGACAACGGTGAGGGATAACGGTCGATGGATAACAAAAGTCAAGTGTCAGTAGATAAGTCAATACATAAACAAGCGAGGCGTCAGTAGCAAAAACAGCGACAGGTCTTATTATAGTCACTGGGAGTACTACGTTGACAAAAGTACCTCATCAATATATATGGCCTGGCGGCTTGTTTCCAATACCACGGACAATAGTGACATCGATATTTGGAATCCCTGCAACTTATTGAGGCCACCGTGCACAAAGCACCATTCAGACTGGCCTCCATCAGCGGCTGACGTATGCCGTCAGCGGTTACGAGATAGTTTTGGTTCTTGATGCCGTAGAGGAGGAGGCCGGCTTGCTGCGATGAGCCACGCGGCAGATGGAGATGGCGGCAACAAGGTTTCCTACTCGCGGCAGGCTGGAGCAAAACGGGGCAGTAACGATAGTTTCGGGCATTTTGTTATTGTGGCTTGTGATCTAGTGGGAAGATAACCTTGGCAAGTGCGGGGAGTGGTGACAGTGACAGTCGGCAATGGAGGCGGCAATGGAGTCGGCAATGGGTTCGGCGATTGTTCCCCCGCAATAGATGGTCATGTTCGATCGCACACCGTCTTATCAGATTTTCTAGAGTCTATGTATGTTTTTACATGTCGTTATGTGCATCTACTGTGCCCAAAAAAAAATGTCTATCAAACAGACTTGCAAACATGGTTGAAATTGGATTAATTGTTACTATTATGAAATTATATAGGAAAGCTACCTCGCCCTTATAGTAGCACATTGAGCCACTCATACCTATCGTAGAGTAGGCCAACGACTATTTACCTGCTGCTACATACCCCGTCCAGGGGTTTTGATACCAGCACTGGTTCGCTAGCTCACACTGGGCATAGCCGTCGTTGAGGGTGTACTTGAAGCAGTCCTTGTTGGAGCACGGCATCCAGCTCTTGATGGCCATCCAGTCGCCGCACTTTCCGCCCGTGCAGCTGCGGACACTGGCCTCGGTGACGGCGAACCACTGCTTCAGCCAGAAGCGCCTGTCGCTCGGGCCGTACCAGTCCATGGTCGCGGGGCCCTCGGTCATGACGGACACGGGAAACTCGTACTCGCCCTTGGCGAAGTCCTTGGCAAACTTCTGCAGGTCGCCGTGGGTGATGGCGATGGAGCCGCCGCCGGTATAGGTCGCCGGCACGCTCAGCGGCTTGAGGCAGGCGATGCAGTGCTGGCCCAGCTTGCACTGCAGCACGCAGCTGGCCGAGTACCACCAGTAGTTCCAGCACGTCCGCGCGTCCTTGAACTCGGTCCTGGTGCTCTCCGGGTACGACGCCGGCGGGCCGTAGGTGCGCGCCGCCAGGTCGCGGGGGCTGCCGCCGCGGCGGCCCACGCGCTCCATGTCGGCGGCGGTAAAGTTGGCGTACGTCACTTCGACGACGCCATCGCTGAGGACTTTCTCGGTCCGGGTGAGGCCGAGAGCGCAGTCGGCGGCGGCGAGCACGAGCAGGAGCGCGTGGGAGAGCGCAAACTTCATGGTGAAGAAAGAATGTGGTAAAAAGATTGTGGTTGTCTGGAGGAGCTTGGTCTTTGACTGATTGAGGAGTGAAGGAGTGCTTGGAGAAGGAAAAGCAGACCATCACGAGGGAAGAGCGATTATTTATACATATTTTCTGAGACTCTCCCAGCGACGGCGACGATGCGAAAAAGCGCGACAATCCTCGACTTCTTTCCGTCGTGGTCGCGTGCCTTGTCCAACCTACTCAGGCAGGCGCCTCGATGAGGGGAGCAGCAATGCGCTCGGCTGCCCGATAGGCATTCAATGACAGCTCGGGAATGTGACAGTCGCTGGGCCTTGGGCGCTGGCTGATCGGGGCCCCGGCTTGGCGCGGCAATTGCGGACCTTAAATTCTCGCAGCAGCGAATGTTTGCGTCTGAGCATCGCAGGCATGTAACGTGAAGCAGCCAATGCCGTGCCAAGGCCGGAAGACGGAAGACGTCTATAATTAGCAGGGATGCCAAAGACAGGGGGGCACTATGGAGTGTACTCGGAACTCGTAGGGCTGCAGGAACGGCTTTGCAAGGCTGCAAGAACAGTGTTCCGGTGGGACCTGTTGATTATACGAATTATTAGCGTTGACTTGCTTATTATTACCTGCATAGTAATAGCACAGTGCAATCCTGTTGATTGCACTCACGCTTACACCACCAATGGCCACCACGCTGCTTGATCTTGCAAGGTCCGACACTGCCGCAGTCTTTGTAGTCGAAATTTTCTCAACTACTTCTTTCAATATTTCTCTCGCCTGCTCGCACGACCATTACCGTTCATGTACTTCCCCATCGTGGTTCGGTCCGACCGCCGTGGCCACTCCGTCATGTTACTGTAGTTTCAGGGCAGTCAGATCAGATGCGCTTCCTCTGGCGGGCGCGGGTGAGCGTTCAAAAAAGCGCGCACGCGATTACGTCTCCCTGTCCCACGAAGAGATCGCAAAATTGTGCGCCGCAAAGTCTGCGTCGGCTTAGCCCGCACGCTGCCGTCGAGGCCAGTGCTGCCAGGAGCCGAAAACCCCCAGACCTTGCAACGCTTGGGCTCGCGGGGTAGGTTGACAAGGACTCCGCCCCAAGCTCTGAACTCACGATTCTTTGTCTCCATGAGTTATACCTGAACATTTGCAGCCTCTTCCCCATGCCCGAGCGCGAGATTGGCCATGCAGGGGTCGCCGCGAGAGTATACCATGGTTGACGGAGGATCGCGCTTCCGGCTTCCGTGCCATTCAGTCAACCAGTTAAAATATACTGCAGCTTCCTCAATGTATTAATCTGCGGCGGAACTGAGTTCAACAAAACATTCTTCGACTCGGCAAAATGAATTGAGAAAATGCCTGCACATAACGCAGGCTCCATGTCTCGCTGCACACTGTCGCCAATGTATGCCATGTCGTCTGATGAGATGCCCAAGTGTTGCAGTACTTTGCTGAATAGGCCGCCGGTTTTGCTTACGCCAAAGGAGTTTGTGGTAGCAAGGAAGTCGATGTAGCTGCTAATACCAAGAGCCTCAATCGTTCTCTCTTGTGCATCCTGAGGGCCTTCGGTTATCACAACAATCTTCTTGCCTATTTCCTTCACGGCAGACAGTAGACCGAGCGCACCACACTTCAACTCAAGCGATTCCGACAGTGTAGCTTCATAGATTTCAAGAAGCCAAGTCATAAAGTGTGCGTCATATGGCAAGGAGAAGTGCTCTAAAACGAGAGTGAATCTCTCCCTCCGGTAGTCGAATGATGTCTTCCCATCAGAAAATGCATTTGCCGTCTTCAGTTGGAGAACCTTGGAATATTCTTGCTTCAGTGCAGGCATGGGGATAGTATGTAGCCTAGAGATCTCTGCAAGGACCTTGTCGGTGGCCGTCGAGGAGGCTTGACGAAACTCATGCAAGGTGTCGTCAAGATCAAAGCCAATCCATGTCTTCTCCAAAAGAACGCTTCGTAGTCTTGGGACCTCATCCTGCCAGCAGCGGAGATAGAGACGTCCTAGATGCTCCTCGACCGTGTTTTTCTCGTCATTGGAGAGAAGACTGTGGGGCGGCACGTCTGGGAGCACCGACGACGCAGCCTCTACAGTCGTGAATAATCCTAAAGAGTTTTCCTTACAAAATATGTATTCCTCGCAAGTATCAGAGATGATAAGTGAGGCTTCAAACGGTTTCTTGAAGTCGAGCATGGTCTCCGAGAATGGCACTCCCCACCATGAGCAGATGCGCTGAACTTCGTTCTGGGGCTTCTGAACGAGTCGCTCGTAAAGCAGGCACGAGATTGCGTGCGAGGGAGCTTGATCAAGCATCCGGAACATGTTCGTAAAGCACTCAATTAGACTCTGCGCATCTGTGCATCCAACATGCTTCCAGCTGTCGAAAACCCGAATGGGATCACGGATCAGAACGACGGGTTGGGTCATTGTAAAGATAGATTGCGTTGGACATGTATCGTATAGACATTCTTCTTTCTCATTGTTGTTTCTGACTGCTTCTTTGCATATGAGGAATTGTTTGCCCAGGCTCCTGGCTTTGTCGATGACGTGGTGGCAGGGGCTCGCTCGGGTCGACAAGTCGAGACAAAAAGAGCCCTGGGCATTGTCCGTTGGCACAGGTCGGCTCGTGATCGCGCACTCGGGCGACTGAGCAAAGATCCTCATGAGAAGCGCTGAGCCGCTACGAGGGCAAGCGACCAATGATCGAACCTTGGGCTCCTTGCTAGGCACGTCTTGCTTATCCATTTGGGCTCGACAGATTTGGCGTATGTGACGGGATTAGGTGTGTGCTTTGCGGTTTGCGTTGGCAAGATAAGTGAGAAAAGGGTGGAAAACGGCTCTTAGATGTGATCAGAGGGGGATTTAGGCTTTCAAATTTTAATGAATAGTTTTTTTCCGCCGGACTAGGTACCTATGTACCTAGGCCATTCATAAGTAGACACGTAGCTGTATTGTCGTAATACAATTCGGTCAGTGTTGGAGCGCCTACTACGAGAAGAATAATCACTACCCTATAGTCGCAAATATGTTTCTCCTTGCCCAGACGCAAAGTTCTCACATAAATACTTTACAACAGATTCATTTCTTTTTTTCAATTATATATATCATGCGACTGTTGCATACGTAAATTTTACGAGCCTGGTGCGGTATCTGGAGGCGGCTAGGCACGAAGTTTCTCATATCACAAGTGCCGTTCTCTCACATACGTGTCACGCTAAAAAGCAGGGAACCCATTCAAGGCTTGAGACTGTTAAAATCACGGATGATCTGCTTGACAACCCATAATAGGAGTACTGCAAGTGGAATGAATTTATATGCTGGGAAGAGGATGCCAATATGTACCTCTTATGTATCTACTTAAACCGGAGGCCTGACAGCGGGTTAGCCGTCTAGCAACGGCTTCTTTTCGCCGACTGTTTTTGTCGACTCCCCTTTCGCATAGTCTGTCGCGTCCGTTCTCTCGCCATCTCCAAAAACCGGCTTCAAGACATAATCGTAGGTGATCCACATCATGTTGGACATGGCAGTCATAAGCCCCGACAGGAGCTTGGGTGTCTGGCCTGTTTCGTCGGCAAAGAGCGCCGCCACACGGAGCATGAAGAGGAAGAGGGGCCCGAAACAGACTAGAAAGACAAATTTGCCAATCTTTTGCCCAGTATGCGTCGGCGTGTAGGGCTGTATCGAGTCCAGGTAGTCCTTGTACACCCGCGGTAGGCCGTGCTCTTGGGCGCCCGTCCGCAGTAGGTTCACGTAGCGCTGGCTGGGCTGCGCGTAGTCGTCTCGCGGGCGATACGGCCCGGTCGTGAGGCGATCCCACCACCCACAGTTCCCAGGCCGTTTGTGGTCCGGGGTGCGCGGTGCGTGCAGCGTCCTGGCCATAAAGGTCCCTGGCAGGGTCGCGCCGCCCGTCGCGCTGCTGGGCAGCGGGACGCAGGGCACGACAATCTCCTGGTAGCTCGCGCCGCCGCCCTCGGTGCGCATAATGTTGCGCCAGTCCGAATTGGTCACCTCGTACACGACACCGACGAGGCAGCCGTCCCAGTGCTTGCTCGGGCTTCCATCAGGCCTTTCCGCGTCGGCGTCGCGGTAGTCGACGTTGGCAAAGCACGGCTCCATGTACGCGACGCCCGGCAGACTAAACGTCAGGCGCAGACTCGGCACATACACGTTCATCTGCGACAGGGGCTTGATCTTGCGCATGCCCAGGAATGTCTGCGCGCACATGTTGGAGCCGTAGGCTAGGTAGAGCACCGTGTCGGGCGCCGAGGGGCCGTATTCGCTGTCGTTTTTTGCGCTCCATAAGCGCTGGGATGTCGTCTCGACGCAGTTGAAAGAGCAATCGACGGACAGGTCGGTGAGCTCGGCAGCCTCCGTCTCGTACAGTGCATGGGGTGCGAGCGAGCCTCGTCGCCCCTGGGGCGGTTCTTCAGCTCTCGTCATTGCGGGGGCGGCCTGTCGGTACGCGTACTAGGTATCGGTCAATGCTCGACGCCGGCTGTCGCAATTGGTTGCGATATTCTGGCAAGTATCTCGTGTTCACAGCGCGTCTGGTACAAGAAACAAGTCAGCCAAGTGCAATGGGAAGATATGAAGGTGTTATAATCTTCTGCGGGCCGTCGGGTCCTTGTTCACAGCCTTATGCGCTAACTGGAGTTGCGGCGGACTTGGGGGGGCAGCGGACATGAGTCAGCGACGCTCCGTCCAGCTAAGCACTCCAGCTAAAGCACTAGTAAAAGCCAATGTGTAAGCCCGACCGCCCGAGACTGGTTCGTTTACCCTGGTGGCCCAGAGGTTGCGTCATGATAGTTTCAGCTCTGGTATTCGTTAGGGGCTAGACCATGGACAAGCCGGAGTTAGCGCTCTGTTATGTTCGTTAAACTGATGGAAATAACGGCGCGCATCAATTGCGCATGACTAATCAGTGCTCACCCTCTTCGTTTTCTTCCTCCCCCGTATTGAGAGCTGACGATCGGGCGCAGGCTTGACCATGGGTTGAGATATTGGAGGCTGCAAAATTGCGGTGCTGGTAGTTGTTGGGAAACGCCTGTCCATGGCCGACCGCTGCCAGCTGCCAGCTGCCAGATGCCACCAGCTCTGACGGTGCAGCGGTGCAGCCGTTTGCAATCTCGCCCGTTTGTAATACAATCCTGGAAGGCAAGTCTCAGACTAATTCTACATATGAGTAGTTTCCTGTCATCACCTTGAATGTTTACAATGGTGGGCACAATGGTGACGACCCTGAGTGACGAGGGTATCGATGATGACGAGCTGAGAGACATGCAGCCGCAGCGTCAAAACGACCATTGGTCCTGCGGAAGCATGGGACGCCCCAGCTCTCCATCCTGTGGGAACTCCCGAGATGCCAGATGGGACTTCCAAGAAGATGCATCCCTCCACGAGTTCTCCAGCGCCCAACCCCGCAACGACCAGCTACCGGAGACCGTCCCGATTCCATCCCAACTGGAGATGCACAATGGAGCCATCAAGACCACCGAGAAGAGCAACTATTTGGACATCTCTGAGACGTGCTCAACAGCTCGTAGAAGCACACCTTGTGTCGGCTCTGACTTGGATCATCCGTGGGACTTCATTCATGAACGATCGGAGGTATCACACTTGTCTGCCTCTGACGCTGACGAGCCCGCTGCTCCTGCTGTCGAGCAGCCTGATAAGGCGTCGAGGAGCGCCGGAGCACCGCAAACCACAAATCCGGAGCAGCAGAAGAAGAAGGCCTACAATACTCGATCAAGGGCCAATATTTCGTACATGGATGGGTTGAGTAGCTCTGACGAGGATGCCCCTGATGCTGCTGCATCCCCGGACAAAGCACCTCGACCCCCGGCTCAGAAGACAGCCAAGAAAGCCAGCCCTATCAAAGTCAGTGGTCCAATTCCTACAAAGAGCATATCCCCGAAGGATAACCAACCGGCGGCACGGGCCGAAAGCGAAAGTCCCCAAACGGGAGAAAGGAGGAAAAAGAGACAGCGCCGCAAAACACCACTCCCCATAGACGAAGAGACACAGACTGTCCAAGCCAAGCTTCCCGCTACTCCTCCCGTGTCGGAGCAGAGGCCAAAGAAACGCCTCAAGCGTCAGCCCCGACGCCTTCTGACTCTGGAAAAATCACAACCTCGCACCAAGAACAAGAAGCAAAAAAACGCGTCTCCCGTACCTATACTAGTTGCTACCTCTCCAGAACTTGGTTCCGAGCAGCCCGCCCAGGAGCCACAAAGCCCTAGCAGTGCGAATGGGCGATCCGCAAGTCATAGCAATGATTCTGTGGCGGTTGTCGATCGGGATGATGAAGAGGACGACGGGAGTAGCTTGTCAGACTCGTCCCTTTCAACAGAGTTGACTACACCAAGCGCTATACCAAGCCTGCGACGTGTCTCGAGTTTTCAGATCCCTGTTGTGCCGCCTCATCAACCACTTCCATTGCCCCCGCCTTCCCCCTCCGTGTTCAAACAAGTGCGAGACTCTATCGAATTGATACCAAGTACTCGCCCTCCGTTCATTAGCGAGTTGTCTACTGTCATGTCGCGAAATGCCTCGAAGCGCGACGAGGACATTGGTCAACGGTTGGAAGAAATCCACAAGGTAGTTGTCTCTGTTGAAATCACTTTTGTGTATCTCCTAACGTGATATAGCGAGTTGGCTTGTATCTCGAAGACAAGGAAAAAGAGGTTGGCGCCGTCCGCTCCGTATACCTCAAGAACGGCACGCGCTGCGTAGACCGTCTCAGGAATCGGTTTTCGAAAGAGCGCAACAATCTCCTACAGAAACTCCACGAAGATAGAGATACGTTTAATACATCACTGGCTGCTGCGAAGCGTAGCCTTCGTGAAGGGGCCAGAGATCGGCAAAGGGTTTTGAAGGAACTGGACCGGAATGCCAACAAGCGACAGCAGTCTTGCTCCAACGAAGTCATTCGTATCAAGGAAATTGCCAAGAGAATACAGATTCGAGGTTAATTATTGCTAAAATATATGCTCCAAGGTGACGAAGTATTTTATTCGCACATGGTAGAATAGATATCAGCCAGAAGAAAAAGCTGCCCTGTTTTCTATCTATAGTGCGTGTCACTCTTTATAAGGAGGATAACTAATCGATCAAACTACAGCCACGACCAAATTATACCGATTGGTGTACCCTGGGTAAATTTATGTGTGGATTACTTTAGCTATCGTGAGCATGCGGCGAACAGCTTCGGTGCCGACCACGACAGACCTCGTTTGTCAAACACGCACTCCTGCATCGTCAGCTCTGCCTTTTTCACATGCAGCACATAATGTCCCATCAGCTTGTTCGGGCACCATTTGATCCATTTCCCAAGCTCGTATCCTTTTCCCGTTCCCTTTGAACTTCTCATCTAGCCACGATCATCCGTGGCCTACTTCCTCCTTCATCCACCAGTTCCTGCCTCGAGGTATCAGGGCAGTCTTGCATCTCGCCAATGCAACTGACTCCAAGTACCTTCCAAAAAATTGCCATTCCTAGCAAGCCCTTCTCGGGTAAAAATGTCGTCTACACCCGCAGAAAATGATACCCCAAGTGGCGATGCCCTCGATATTTTGTCGTTGAACTACCACGCCGACATTGAACTCGTTGAGGACCCCAAGATCTTCCGCGGCAACAATACCAGTCCGAGCAAAATGGATAGCCGACGCGTCATATTCTACAATCTCCCGCCGTCCGTCACTGCTTTGCTGGTGGCGCGCGCAGCAGCCGCCTTTGGCCAAGTACTTCGGGTAGAGGCCGTGGCACCCTTGGCTCCGGGGCTCGGCACCACGGTCATAGTTGAGTTTATGACATCGAATTCGGCCACCATGTGCCAATTGGCAATTAATTCGACCTGCCCGACATTCTGTTCCCAAGATGGCCAGCTATACGTGGCCGGCGTTTGGGTTGTGCCTACCCCGTCATTCCCCATTGGCAGAGAAACCAACGCAAGCGTGAACAGAGGCTGTACACGAACTGTTGCCATGTTCCCCATCTCAAAGGAATGCGTATGGTTCATGATTCAAGCCGTCGCACCGCAACACGACATCTTGGACGCCGAATACAGCGATGCAGCCAGAAGACTCACTGTCGAGTTTGCGCGCGTCGATGCGGCGCACCGCACTATGACGCAATTGAATCACGGCATCTTTGACTTTGTATTCGGCGAAGAGGCCTGCCAGAGGGAGGCTATTCCACGTGAAGATAGCGTTGAGTACGGCGGGTACGTTCCGTACTTGCCTCGAAACTACTTGCATCAGCGATTCGAGCGCGCGCCGTTCAATGAGTACTGGCCGCATCGATACTACTATGTAATGACACTGCGCAATCTCCATCCTCGAAGAAATTACAACAAGCGAGATACTTCCTCGTCGGATGCAACCGCTACTGACGATGACTCGCACGACGCCGCGTCAAGTACTGAGACAAGCTCGTACGACGAGCCTCGCGGGAGGCCACCCGTTCAAGGCCATGTCTCCAGGTATGTCTGTACCGTATTTCCCCAATTTCCAGCACTCACAAGGTCTCTTCGCTCCAGGAGGCAGAAACAAGAGAAAAAGGAGCTCCTCGCCAGTGTCGACGAGTCCCAGCTGGCGGGCAGCTGGGACCAATACTTTGAGAACCGCCACACTATCAGCCTTCGAGGATGGGACGAGTACGGCAAGATTGCGCGGCATCGACGCGAGCTTTGCGCCAAACAAGCCTTGGCCGAAGGCATCATCCCCAAGTGCGGAGGGCACTGTCCGCTGGACTGCAGAGATATTAAGGAAACACCCCGTCCCGAGGAAGTCGACAGGTTCCTGGCCGCGCCACAGGAGGATTTGCTGATTGCTCTGTGAGCGAGCCCAGCTCCAGGGTGACGAAGGGCGTTTTTTACTGGAGTAAAAAGGGGGAGAGACTCAATTTGGCTTTTCTTGCTGGGGCTATTTTTACGCGATTTATTTAGGATGGGATCTTGGGAATGACTAGTTTCAACAGCAACAATTGACAAAAGCACGGTGGATTCATGGACCGAAAAGGTAACAGGAGTACCAAGGCGCTTTGGTGGACTTGCAAGTTTAGCTCAGTAATAATATTAGCCCAGAAATACGCTCAACCACAGTGTATGTGGTTAGACAATAATTATGCTATTATACACAATGATTCAATGGTAGTAGACAACTTTGCTCTTTCTCGTCCACGCCATGGTGGTAGCTCACAGCATCGGCGCTGGATACACAAGATTCAAATTCGGCCGCGCGCCCTGCGAGTTGGGCGCGTCCCAGACGTGCTTGTCCATGCCGTCGTCGCTCGAGTAGACAAACATGCCGCTATTCGCACTCGACGGGCGATCTTCCTCCTCCTCCTCCTCCTTCTTGCCCACCCCCTGGCTTCTCGCCATGTTCGTCGGCCGAAGAGGCGGGAGTCGCGCCATATCCTCCTCCGCCTTGCTGCCATGGCGCGGTTCCAACGACGACGCGGCCTTGCGCTTCTGCTCGGCAACCGTGCGGCAAAACTCGCGGACGAGGTGGTCCGGGATGTTCTCCTCGGGCTCCCAGGTCGATTTTTGGTCGGGCGGCCAGTCGCCCTCCCAGCGCACCTTGAAGTAGCGGATGAGGCCGCGGCCTTCGACGTCGTACAGCTCCATGTCCTCGAGGCACTCGACGGCCCAGTCGGGCTCGTCGCTGTCCGAGTCGGAGAATATGGGGAGCGCGGGCTGTTTTCCTTTTGACCGGTCTGGAGATCGGCTTCGTGCGTGGGATCTCGAGGGTTTCTTTTTCTGGGCCACGTGCGGTCGATACTTGGGCTGGGCATGCGGCCGTGGATGGGACTTTTCGGCGTGTGTTTCTGATGGTCGCTTGCTGGGGCGCTGCGCGGAAGGCTGTGGCGGAACGGGATGTTTCGGCACCGCGGAGAGGTATTCTGTCATTGGTCTCGAGGAGTGCTGTTTCGTGTGGGTGGATGGTTTGGCTGGGTTGCGTATAGACAGGTTGGCTGATTCGCCCATAGACAGCCTGGCTGGGTCGCGCATAGACGTTTTAGTTTGTTCGCGCATAGACGGTTTGGCTAGGTCGCTTATGGACTGCTTGGCTGGGTCGCGTGTATATGGTTTGGCTAGGTCACGCATAGACAGCTTGCCCGGTTCAACTGAATCGCGTTTAGACGGTTTAGCTAGTTCGCGGGTAGACGTTTTAGTTGGGTCGCGCATAGCTTGTTTAGCTGGGTCGCGCATAGACTGCTTGGTGTGCTCGACTGGATCGCGTTTATGCGGCTTGACTGATTCGCTCGTAGACTGTCTAGCTGGGTCGCGCATGGACAGCTTTCCCTGTTCGCTCGTAGACGGTCTGGCAATGTCGCGCTCGCGCGCTTTGGCAAGCGGAAGCCGCACCGCAGGCGATGCTGGCCTTGATTTCGTCGCGGCCGCCGCAGACACGAGCGGCATCGTCATCGGCGGCGCCACGCCCGGCCTCTTCAGCAGCTGGTTTTTCGCAGTGTGCAAGCGCGCGCCGTCATCCAGCACCATTGGCGCCACGGGAGCCATCGGCGCCACGGGCACCGGGCGCAGCGGGTGCGGAACCGCCACGTCCAGCTCCCGTGCGCGCTTCGCCCGCGCAACGTCCAGCCGGAGCTGCTCCGAGGGGCTCTCCTCGCTGCTGCCGCTTTCCAGAAACTCCTTGCGCTTGCGCTTCCGGGGGGTGGACAGGCTGCCCATCGCACCGCCGTGCAGGCGGCCCTGCTCGCCGCCGCTGCCGCCCTCCGTCTCGGCGACGACGGCGGCCTCG